TCCTACACGCTGACTGCATCCTCTGAGACGTGAGATTAAACCAGTGGCACAGACCTGTTATAAAAGCTTCCAGTCAATACATTTTGCATGCATGCGTAACCAGATGATTTTGCAGTGCACCTTGGACACAAGCTGCTTTTTACTTCCTCCTGATGCGTGAGCACTGTTTGCTTTCTTCTTGGGCAGGACTTCAGCATGAGTGGCCACCCAGCATTGGCTGTATGTGAGCTTTGAGCTGCAGCATCTGCCCAACATCACCGTGCTGCCCGAAACACGCTGCCCTCACCAACTGCTGAAGAGTTCCAGCATCCGTAGGGAAGAGCCACCAAGCAGAGGGCAGCATCAAAACCTCTCAGCAGAGGGGAGAGATGGAAAACCCATGAATGCTGCATCTCCAAGTCTTTTCCTCTCTTAGCAAAACATTCTGCTCTTTTTTTTCCTCTCTTTTTTTTTTTTTTCCTGGACCAACAAAGACACAGCAAAGCACTGCAGGCAGCAATGTGCTTCTATCAGCAGTGCTGAGTGTCTGCCACAGCCGTGTCTGTGATGAAGCCAAGGGACGCAGTTCTAATTGCTGTAGGAATCACTGTCCTTATTACTGGAGGGAGGTCTTGCCCACCGTTAGCTTCTCGGATGGTTGCCTGTAAGACTGAAGATCTCAGACAGATAAAAGCTGATCATCCCAACCATGTCCCAGCCCTCCGAAGGAGTGTGAGAGGAGCACCGGGCAGCTGTGTGAGCAGGATCTGCCCAGGACACCGCATTCTCCTTGCAAACCTTACGCTGAAACTTTTGTTCAGCACTCAGAATTGCCCCAAGGGAAGTTCAAAGGAAAGGCAGCACAGATGGGAGGTCCTCTGTGCTTCCTGAAACCACGGCCCCACAGTGTGGGGAGCTTAAAAGCCTGCCCGGAATTAAGATCGGCTTTAGCATTATGGGATGTCACAGGTACAAAGGTACTGCAGGAACAGCCATTGTAGGCATTGTGTACAGGAGGGGAGAGGTTCATTTTAACAGTATACTTTACAGCTCATTGATATGTGCTACATGCATTAATCCCTAATTAAGATACCGACTTCAGTGGAATTCCTCCACCTTATACAGAGAAAGGAGCTGTGGTAGGTTTTGCCCTGAGTCTTGTAGGATTCAAAATGAAGGGGCCCCAGCCAACCTGCCTCTTGCCTGGTGTCCCTGTTCACAGTGGCAGCCTCTGCCTTCAGCGGCAGCTCGTGCTGCTAAGCAGGGTGGTTCTGGTGAGCACCGCACCTGCCAGACCCTGGGCCCTTCAGGACAGACCCTGCGGCCTGGCACTGACTTTGCAAGGCAGTTATGGACCTCCAGGGGCAGCCTGGCAAAAAAAGAAAAGAATGAATGAAAGAAACATGAAACTTTCAGCAAGATGAGATAGGGATAGGCTTAGAAGCAAAGCAGAGGCTGAAGCACGGTTGCAGGCAGCTCACTGTGTTCTGTTTCCTTTTGGTGATGGGAAGGAAGGCAGATGTACCTTGAGTACATCATCACTCGTGTGACATTCCCCAGAGTTCAAACTGGCTGTGAGTATGAAATGGCACTTCTGTGTGAATGTCACGGGGGTCATGAACTCACCTCTTCTCACTGTACAGTTATTCCTGGGAGTGGCAAGATCAGATCTGAGCTCATTCATAAATGTATTTGCATCCTCCTTGCCATGGCAGCTGCATGCTAAAAGCACTTTTCACCTGCTAACTTGTAGGGCAGGAGCTCAGCCAGCGCAATCACAAAGGCCCTAAGAGGCACACCTAGAGGCTGTAAAGCTGGCTGATTGATGGGGGCAGGAAAGAAGGGAACCTGGGAGCAAAGCTGCTTGTGTAAATGCAGTGCCCACATCTGTGCAAACCCTCATCTCGTTCTGAGTTGCAAAGCCCTAAAAGCAAAAGGAAGCGTGATCTTTTCTCAAAGAGATGAGTATAAAGGACGTAGTGCTGGGGAGGGATGAGCTCTGGAAGTTGCAGTTTTGCAGTTTCTTGACTCTGAATGCCACCTCAATTCTCTGCCTGGAAGGGCAGAATAATGGGGATTTACAATAAACTCTGTTTAAAGTCAACACCTCATGAGGAGATCTTGGGTTTCTTTACACAAAAGGTCGTTGGCGTTCCCCTGGCTGGAGTCAGAGGTGGCCCTTCCCTGGGGAGCCAGCACAGGAGTGGGGAGCATACCTCACGTGGCCTCAAATTGCATTGAAAAACCCTCCTGTTAGCTCTGGGGTGAGGTGGGTCAGGGCATCAAGGCTCTGTTCAGAGAGAAGAGGTGCACGTGTGACTCTTCCAGGATGCCACATGTAAAACCATCTTTCCCTCTTACGCGAGCGCTCCTGCATTGCACACTGCAAGTGATGAGCAGAAGAAGCCAGGCATGCTGGCAACCACCCAGCTCCCCCCGCAATGCTCCTGGAGCTGCTCTAGCTGGAAGCAGCTGAACTCTGAATGCAGTTTGTCCCCCTGTCACCTCTTAGGTAATTTCACATACTTTTAAGTGAGCAAAGAGATTAATCAAGCCAGTGACAGGCGAGCACACCTCAGTTTGTGGGCGGTATGGTTGCAGAAGGAGATTAGAGCGACCAACAATCAACCCAGACAAACAGCATGTGGGCTTATTGCCACCAAGACACAAACTGTCCTACCCCAGCCCCCAAACACACTTGCCAGAGGTTATCCTCTCCCCCTGGCAACTTGGCCAGCCCCAAAGCCTCTTCTAGTTTTCATGGGCTGGAGCAATGCTGAATTTCACCCCAAAATGGACACAAGAGAGGCTGCGGGAACGCTGCTGCAAACAGAGTCCTGCTGTGTAGGAATGGAGTTGTCAGCAGCCCTTGGCCGTGCTGAGATGGTGACACCTGGCAGAGCCGCACTGCCTGCCCCGCTCTCCGCTCTGCACTCCATCCACTGCAGATCTTTGCTTTGTGGAACGGCTCCATGTTAACTCCTTCCTGATCTGCCCCACAACAGCTGGGATCTGCCTTTGGTTTCCATAAAGTAACTGTTTGTACAGCATGTCATCAGAGGTTTAACCATCATTTCCATTTTTCCAGCTGGAGCTGCAGGGGTCTTTAGCTGCATCATTTGGAGTATTAAATACATATGGAAATATTCTCTATTCAGGACCTTGCGAGCCGTCCAATCGTATCACCCAGTGACTTAAGCAACAATAGAAAACGCCAGAGGGTGTTGTGTTATTACAGCGCTGTAAACATCCCCAGGCATAGCATACGGCTGTGGGACAACAGGAAAACCCACCCTTAAGCTCCAACAATCCTCACAGGCGGAAACCCCCGCGAGGCAGCGACCGACCGTACCGGAGAACGCCCCGAACCCATCAGCCGCAACCGGAGCTCAGGTGCAGCCTCGGCCCGCAGCCAGCCCAGCGCCGGCGCCGCCATCAAATGACGGGCAAAGCAGCACAGCCGGCCAGCAGCGAGCGTCCTGCCGAGCCCCGCGCTCCGCTCCTGCCGCTCGGCCGCTGCTCGGGGTCGCCGGGGTCGGCCCACGAGGCGCTGCCGTCTCGCTGGCCTTGCGCATCAGCCTGGCTTGGGGAGCGCGGCAAGGCGAGACGTCCTTCCTCTCCTCTTGCCGTAGGAAGTGGTTATCCGTGCAGAGGCTGGAAAACTCCGCTGAAATAAAACCCTGCTGAAATAAAAGCACTTCTTTTTACTTTTTTAATCGCGCTTCTGCGATACCGAGCTGGGAAAGAAGGGGCTCCCGGGCAGCAGAGCCGGCAGCCGCGGCCGTGCCCGCTAGGTGGCAGCAGAGCGCCGCGTCGCGCTGCCCCCCCGCGGCCCCGGGCGGGAGGTGACAGAAAGGTTCCGGGCGCGTGGCTTCCAAATGCTTTTTTTCCTACCTGTTTTTTTCTTTCTTTCTTTTTCAGGGGCTCGTACGAGTACAGACTGCGTCTGAGATCGTTGGTGTGTCTTGGTTTGTGTCTCTGAACACCTGAGAAACAGAACCTGCATTTCTCATGCAGATGCTGACGGGGGTTGGCAGAGCACACACCGCTTCCAGAAAGGAGGACAGCGGCCAGACTGGCTTTGCTGCGAGGTTTGAGCTAGACAAATATTCACTTTAAGCGCTGCTCCCCAGGATGCAGCCACCACCACACGAGGCACAGCCCGGCTCAGTGCAGTGCACAGCCTGCTCACCAAACAGCAGCAAAACGCTGTGCCCAGGCTCTGGCAACTTGGGAGCATGTCTGCAAGTGCCAGGGTGGGAGCCCTCTAAAACCCACAAGCACAGATCAGCGAGAAAGTTTCTCATAGGGAATATTCAGAAAAACAGTAAAAGAATTCCTCTCCAAAGATCCTCTGAAACCCTGCTTTAGGAATAGGAGATTTTAACTCTCCCAACAAGGAAACTTTGATTTCCTCCCACCTCACCTGTGCACAGAGAGCAGCCAAGGCTCCCACTGCTTTACAGCCCAGCCCCACTGCTGGGGGTCAGCACAGCACCGGGCACACAGCTCACCTCCCGGCCCCGCTCTGCACTGCTGCGCACGGGAGTTTGCACAGCTCGACTGTTTCCCTTTGTTAAAGGGGTAACTTCATCCCTCTTGTGACCATGTGGGCGCTGGAGCTGCTGGGCACTGGGTTTGTCCCTCTGCAGGCCACAGCTCTTTGCCTCCTTCCCTGCAGAGCCCAAACAGGTTTAGGGCCAAACTGTTCTGCTGGAGCCCCAGTGATGTCTGGGTGCCACCCTGCAGCCCCTGGGTGGCACCAGCACCTCCTGCTTTGCAAGGAGCCCAAATCACTGCAGGAGCGATGGAGCAGAGCCTGCTGTGCGTCAGGCTGCAAACGCTGCCTTCAACTTCGTGTCTGCAGCTGCCGTGCAGCACCCACAGGTAAATCATTGCCAGAAATTTGATGGGTCCAAATGCCACAGAACAACATCATCATCATCAACAACAACGACAAAGGAAGTGCACGTTTATTTTCTTTTCAAAAGCTTTTAATAGGACACATTTGTTTTTGTCATTTGTAAAGATTTACACTCATTTTTTGTCTTTTTTTCTTTTTGTAAAAAGGAACTTTTGAACCCGATTTTGCCCACGAATACCACCTTTTGTTGCCCTGACCAACAGACCTCGTCTTGGCCTATATACCTGATACAGTATAACAATATATTAACTAGTAAATACAAAGTTCTATCATATACACTAGGTTGTTACGGACGTTGCAACGGTGCCGTGCCTACTCTAGTCACCTGGTGTAATAGTGTACATGGGTTATTAGAGCCAGAGGGGCAGAAAAGGGAAGACTGGGGCTTAGCCTAATTTACAACCATAACACTTTTTCCTTGGACACGCCTTGTGCTGAGTGCAATCCACAGAAGTCAAAAACAGCGTTTTCTTCACCCTCCTCCAAAACACCTGCAATACCAACAGCCTGGAACCGAGCTAGAAAAGTCAGTCCTATGTGCAAGGGGCTGCAAAACTGGAATCAGCAGTGCTCCACACACATCCGCAGTCTCTGCTTCCTCCCACGTCAGCCTGGCAGTGGCAGAACGCCGTCCTCCCGTCTGCCTACAGTAAATCCACAGTATAAAGTGCTGGTGTGCTTGAAGGAGCTGATAGCGACGTGACTGCTGTGCCCCCGGCACGGGCTGAGCTCTGGGGGTGGGTGGTTCATGTAGTGACAGGAATGGCACTGCGATACCACAAACCTCGTTAGTGCAGATAACCGCGGCCTGGACGCAGCTCTGCGCTGCGCTACAGCAGGTCTGGCTCCAGGGTTATGGAAGGGGAAGCAGAGATGGAGCTGCTCCTGTTCCCAAGATGCTACGCAGGCTTTTAACAATTTCTCTATAGATTTCTACAAAAATATAAAAAAATCTATCAACAGAACCGTCCTACAGAATTCCTGTGGATTTTGTACATTTTGTTTAAAAAAAGTCAAATTCTATAAAACCCCCCCCGCAGGTATTTAAAATTCCCTTAAGATTATTGCACACACTGCAGTACATCTGAGTCTGTTTTTCAAAAGGGCGCCTAGAAAAAACGCGTCTGCTTTAGAAAACAAACTATTTTACACAGATCTCCTTTCCTGAACGCGTCACCGTGCGGCATTTTTACCGGCTGGTCTTTGCTGAATATTCACGTGCGATGTGAACTTTTTGCTGCTCACACAAACCGCATCAGGGGGCGAAAGCCCAAAGCTGGACAAGAGAGCGGCCTTTGGGGGCTGCTGCGTTTGGGGCCGAACGCTTGGATCAACGTCACTTCAGCGCTTTGTGCCGCAGCGATGGTTAAGGAATGGGGTCAGCAACGTCATATTTTCCCAAATTATTCAGTAAATGTGAAAGGAAAAGGCTGTGCTCATTAGGAGCGTAAGACCACAAAGGGATTAAGAATATTTCCCAGGCTTAGCGCACTGTAATTTTATTGTTTCCTTAAATGTGAGCCGGGGAAGAACTGAGGAAAGGTTGGTTTGAAGTCACCGCCCCAAACGGGCTCTGCTCTGGGCTGGGCACCAGTGGGTTTGTCTGGGCTCACAGCACACAGGGGAACCGACCCGGCTGTGGCCCTGCCTGCAGCACAGCGTGCTGAGAGCACAGCCCTGCGTTCTATGGGGCGCAGACAGTGCTTGCGGAGGAAAGTTCCTCAGGTGGCAGTAAAGGAGGTCAAAGCCAACAGGCTTGTGTGGGTTCAAGGAGAGAAGCTAGCAAAGTCTCCCTGTGAGGGCTGCAGCTGGTTGCATACTTACAGCCGTGCCTCCGAGGCCCTGTTTAGCCCACACCTCACCCCCATCTGGGGAGTCCTCTCAGCTCCACGTCTGCCTCCTGTCAGCCCTGTGAGCAGCGGGCTGAGGCACACAGGGCGTCCCCAGCATCCCCATGGCTTCAGGCTCTGCCAGCAGCACAGAACGGACCGCTTGGAGATGGCTGACACTAAGGAAGGCTATGAAGGACACATGAAGGACTATGAAGGCTTCCATTTCTGCACGCTTTGCAGCACAAAGTTGCTGCTTACGGGCTTTACTAGGTTGGAAATAAAACTTCCATCAGGTTCTTCACGTGAATTAACTCCAGCAGTGACAGGAAAAACTTCTGCTGAAAACCAGCAAACATTTCGGTACCGACAAGACCTCCTCACACGCACTCTGTAAGACAACTTGCCAACTGCAGCAGGCCTCCCTTCTGTTCAACAGCAATTTCAAACAATGACTTAACGACCTCAGCACAGCTCTCAGCAGGGCAGTGGGGCAACGGGCTGCACTGCAGAAACAGCCCGAGACACCGCGCTGCTGAGCAGGCCCTGCAGGCAGCTGTGCTGGCTTCCCGAGGCACACAGCAAAACCACCACCGATGATCACGGATGTGATTCTGTGAATCACCCGCAGACGATCCAAAGCTCCAAAACAGCCCATTCCAAGTCAGCACCGCGCAGCTCCCGCTGCAGCTCGGCCGGCTCTGCGCTCCCAGCCCTCGGCGCTGCACGCTCCTGCTTTGTGCACTTGCTTTTCCTCTGGATGCCGATTTTATGCAAGAGTGGGAATTCATTTTGTCAGAAAAGAACGCTACCGCATTTTTGTATTCTCCAGAAAATGACTCGAGTCCAAGGGGAAAAATAAATTACATTAAATAATTCTTATTTACTGCTGACTGTGGGATACGTTTCCTCCGTAATGCACTAATTGGCTACATTTTGTGCTTTGCAAAACAAAATGAAACCCAAACGAAACAAAAGAAAAAAAAAGAGAAGGGATCAAATATATATTTTTGAGGTTAAAATGTTCATATAAACCCACCTGATCTCAGAAATATTCTGAGACACATAAAATAGAGGAAAATCAAACGAGTCTTTAGTCACAAAATGTACTACATCTCGCAATACTAGATTCAATTAATTTAATAAAATATAATATACATATAGATTCTGCACATTGTATTGCTTTTACCTAAGCAGAACGTATGCTTAAGTAAGCGTGATATAGGTTAACCCCTCCTTTAACCAGCTGGTTCTTTAATCCTTCTTTGGAAATATTTTACCCAGTGCCATTTTGGAATACAGTTCTTTTTTCGTTTGTTTTCCTTTTTTCTGTTTTGTTTTTCTATTACATGACAGGAAGAAAACATTTGGCACCAACAGAAAAGTAACTCAGGGCTCCATCTCATTCTGATCAAAGGAAAAGCTAGGAAGTGTCAACAAGTCTTTCTTTGGGGTAGGAGATGCTGACATGCTGTCTGGAAGCAACGAATCCCCAATATCCATCGAGTCCTTGGAATCGCAGGACGGAGCGCGCCGCCTCAGGCAGGTGTCTCCTCTGGCAGGTGAGATGCTGTGAGGTCCTCTGGGCAGCAAGCCTTGTTCACTGGGTGGGTCTATAGATATACACGGAGGACTCAGCTTTTTCTTCTGCCGAGTTCCTTGCAAGCCTTCCATTTCACTTACCACTTGACTTATGAAGCCAGAGGAGCTAGATGTGGAATGGTGCTGAGGGCTGTTTTCCATGGAGCAGATTTCTATCGAATGTCTCCTTTGATCATCCAACCAAGAGGGTGGTTTTTTTAGAAGACCTTGGGTGTCAACACTGTGGTATTTCTTCAGGTCCTTCAACGTAACACTGCCGGTATTGCCAATGCTCCTCTTAGGAGTGAGAGGCTGTGCCTCTGAACAGGCACTCGAGGCTGTGCAAGTTTCAGAAGGGAAGGGCTCCGAGGAGCTGTTTGTTTCAGACACTTCTTGGTCCATTGAGTCTCCAGGCGTCTCCTGATAAGAGTCCGCACAAGCACACGATGCTGGTGCCTGCTTTGAAACGTTGTATTGATTGTGGGAATGCTGCTGTGTGTGAACGCTTGCCCGGCTCCACGCAGCCAAATCTTCTCCTTCTGAGGGGGTCGGAGCAGCTGGTGACTCCTCCTGGGGCGTGCTGGGGATATCGGGGTCGGGGAGCTCACTCAGCTCGGCGGGGAGGTTCTCCTTGCTGTCCGAAGAGTCGTTCCTTATGGCCATCTGCACAGAGCGCAGGGGAGTCGGGAGGAGGGGAGTTGCCAGATGGGAGAGACAGACCAAACAAAGGTTAGTACAGGCAAGGCACAGCATTCACAGGGCATGCAGCTCTGCTGGAGATACCCCAGTGTGGACCCGCTGGTTCCTACAGTGATATGCGGGCTTATCCCTGTGTAAGAGACAGCAGATTTTGGCCCTTTATTCTTCATAAGTGGTTGACCTTCATCTTTCTCCTGGAAGGATGCAGGACTGCAAAACAGAATGCCCCCAGCCAAACCTAGCAGCATCCTGGTTATCCAAAGGATGAGGGTCTATGGCAAACTCCTTTGAAATCTTAGGGGCGCAAACAGGAGTGGGAGAGGGAAGATGTGCAAGGGAACCTGTGCATTCCTTTCTCCAGCTCAGGCGATGCTGAGGGCATGGAGCAAGATCCCCAGAGCCACCAACACCAGAGCAGAGCACCAACACGTCTGTGCCCACCCCAGGTGGCAGCACATGTCCACCTTTGGGACAGCTTTGTCCCGTGCAGGCACCACAACTCTGCACCACCTTAGACAGGGGAGCTGCAGAAGCTGGACTAGGGCATCTGTAGTTACTTCTACCTATTCTGACAGCCCAGACTTCCTAAGGCACATTTTAACTTGGTTGTTTTGAGCCATATGCAACATCGGTGCTTGCTGGCCAAGAGTGCCTACGGCGTGGTTTGAAGGCTTTGCAGTTCCTCTGCACTGCATCCCTTGCCAAAAAGGATTATAAATCAGCCCCATTAACCGGCCCTTAAAGGCAGTGTCTCGGTTTGAGATGATTCTTAAATTATCTTAAAGATTAAAATCTTCATCAAGAAATTTGGAGGAAATGCCTCCAGCTGGTCTCAGCCCTTTAGAGGAGTGCAAGGAGATGAAATTCCTCATTTTAAGGAATGCTTTTGTGACAAATTGCCCCCAAAACGATCTCAGGATTTTTATAAAAGCTGTCCCACGAGGACTGCTTGAGCCAAATGATCTCTGTTCAGGCAAAGCTCTCCTCAGCTGCAGCACAGACATACGTGCACACAGCAGCACTGCTCTCACACCTGCGCAGTGCCTTCCTTTGTTGTCTGTGAGAGAACATTCAATATGCCAAATCACTTTGTCCAATGCCAGCTAACAATCCCTTGTAGTCACAATTTCACAGCGTCACGCTGGTAACCAACCACACCTGAGAGCGGAGCTCATTCTGCACTCCTCGATGCCACCAGAGTTAAGGAGTGTTTGGGGGGCAGGGATCACATTCACATCCTGAGAAGGCTGTGAATCTCACATCCTGAGAAGGGAAACAGAGCACCAAAAAGCAGAACATGGCTGCAAAAAGTAATTCTTGTCATTACTTTTGCTTGTACACCAACCTGTGTTGCGCACAAAGGGCAGTGCTGGTTCTTTCTGTCCCTACAGCCTCTGTGGCAGCTGTTAGCAGTAACTGCTGGTGGAAATGTCTTATTGGTTTGTTCCACGACAGAAGGACCCTATGCCATCCCAATGGTGCGTCCACCCCCAGCGGGGTTACACCACGGGCACGCAGTCCTGGAGCCAGAAAATCAATGTAGTTTTAGGTTCAGGTAGAATTTCCCTGGAGAACAGCATCTGAGCAGTGCCAAGGAGCACGTTCCTTGCGGGAGCTTGGCTCTGTGTTCACCCAAAGCATCTCACAGCTTCATCTGTGCGTGCATCGCTAATTGCCAAACATTCCGGAGTCTAAACAGAGTGTTACTGGGGGGACTGTCCACCCTACAGCACGCTGGAGGGGAAGGGAGGTGAAACACACGTGTCAGTGGTGGAGGAAAGTGCACGGACCAGGGATGTGGTGGACAAGATTTATCTACGCACAAATTTAGGACAGGAGAGGGGACAACAGGGAAGGGAGAGGAGAGAAAAAGAAAAAAGAAATGAAAATCAGAATTACATGCAATGTAAGTAACAATAAGGAAAAATGGGTACTGCAAATCAAAATGCATTGCTGGCTTGAGCTACAGGGACGTGCCAGCAGCACATCAGTGCGGGCAGCAACAGGAGCCAAGCGGGAGCATCTGAGCATCACAACTGCTGTGAACAGCAAAGAGAGTTTGCTTCTTCAGAGACAAAGTGTCACGATGCACGGCCACCTAGATCACAACTAACTCCAACAGAAATCAAGTCTGTGGCCAGAACCCACTACTATTCTACTTCTATTAATGGTGCTACACGAGAGCAAGCACAAGGCAGCAGCTTACTGGTGTTCAGGGGATGCAGATGGCCCACAGACCTGCCTGCTCACCACCCAAAGTTCCCTATCCAAAGCTCACCAGCCCAAAGCTTTTTTCTTCCTGAAAGGTCACTCCAAGAGCGTGCTGATGCCACTGCACGAGCAGGAAGAGGAGGGAGGGGCATAAATTAATTTAAATGTATGAAGGGGTTTAGAAGGAGAAGCCTTCAGAAAAGTGAACAAAATTAGGCCGAGAGAGATGGCTAACATGGTAATTTATTCTAGAGAGATCAATTGAAAAAGATGGGTCTGTTATTCATTAGAAAGCAAGAGAGAGTGGTTATGAACTGGAATCATGACATCAATTAGTTTCCCTATTAGCAGTGACTGGGGGAGCTGGCCAGCCCTCCGCAAAGAAGACACGCTAGGAATTTCTTATGTCAATTTAGCACTGCAGACTAATGTAATTGTTAACCTTGGTACTCTGCATTCATTTTTAGAGCTTAATGAATCAACTGTCTAATTTGTCAATGTTGATTAAAAGATGAAAGAAGTGGGAACATTTTCATGCAGTAAAGAAGATATTTTTGAAAAAATCGAACTGATGTATTCTGTGCAGATGAAATAGGACACAAAACTCTTGAAGAAAGCAGACCATGGGATCAGATGCACCAACAGCACAATGAAATGTGTTTTAAAATGTGAGAGTGAAGCACAAGTTTAAGTACTCCACTAAAAAGGAGGAATTTAAAGTCGTGTTTCCAATCAGGCAGACTGGAATCTGCAATTACATCTCTCAGATCTTTGGTTGAATCAGAACTTAAATCAATGCCAGGCAAAATAACCGAGATAAAACCAGTTACAAAATAGAACAAGTTCTGTTTTGCATATACTTAACCTTTTCAAAAGCACGTAGGAGATTTGAAAGGATCCTAATTTCCAATTCTTGCTGTAAATACAACGTGCTTTCCATGGTGGCTTTGCACGCAGCGAGGTGCCCTGTAAGCAATTTCCCCCTTTCAAGAATTGAGAGGAGTGAGAGGAAGGGCAGCCTGGGATGGAGCCTGCAGTCACCGTGTCCTTCCAAGCACTGAGAACATCACAGCAGTGAAGAATTAGTTCCTTAACCCCAACAAGGCCCTGGGGAGCGTTTGGCTGCAGTTATGAAGAGACCCAAAGAAATGAAGTGCAAACATTGTGGGGAACCTTCAGGCACGTTGCCAGAGGAGATGCTGCACAGTGCTCACATCCTTTGGAGGCTCCTGGACGGCTTTCACATCAAAACCCATCAACCTTTTCGTTATTTCTGCAGGAGAATTACAGTTCTCCTGAGGTTTCTCTGTGAACCCTTCATGAATTTAAAGTGTGGGTAACCTGGAAACACAGCAGTACAAAACCCAAGCAAGTTGGTGGCCCTGGTTCTGCTTACCTGCCTGCGGAGCAGCCTCTCTGCAGAAGGGGAGTGCATGGGGGCAGCCGCCGGGGCTTTTCCCTCCCTGACCAATGGATCGCGAGCTCTCACATGGTGGAAATGGTCTTTTGGAATTTGCAGGAGAGAGCTGGTGTCTGCTGGCTGCGACTGCACCGACGCCTTTGAACCTTGCAGGAGGAAGGAAAGAGAGGAATGTGACGCGTCCCCCTGTGACTGCTGCCCTGTCTCAGGGTCCTGTCAGAGGAAACCCCTTTGCACCCCAGAGACAGGCACAGCAGGAGCGCTCAATTCAACAAGCAGCTCTCCATGGTTGGAAAAAACTCCCACCTATTAATAAGTTATTCCAAAATAGTCTATTATTTCATTTTTCTTGGCGTTTTCCCGCGATCCAGCTGGGACCAGCTCCCGTAAAGAACAGGAGATGATGAACTAGAAGTTCATCTGGAATGGCAACATCCACATCCCTGCGAGGGCCAACGACTGCAGGCACCCGCACATCTCAGCCCTGCAGGGATGTGCCCCTGAGAGGTTCTGGAAAGGATGTCCCCAAACCAGAGCGCAGAGTGTGCCTGCACTGATCCCAACACCACACAGATGCTGGGACTCACATGGCAGCAAACTGACCTGGCAGCAATCAAGGCTGGCTTTGCAGCGCAGCCCTGGAGAAGGAAACGGGCACTGCGTGGCCTCTTTCTGACCCTCGGTGGTTGCTGGCTGCTTCTTCTGAAAGGTCTGAAGCTCTGCGAGCTCCCCCCCACAGCCTCAACATTTTTCAAAACAATTCATTTAACCTGGACCGAATCCCAGAGAATCTCATTTGTCCTGGAATCTTTCCCAGAACAACAGCCCCATTACGAAGGAGTATTCAAACAAATACCTCCTGCGAGCGCCAGTGTTTCTGACAACAAAACCTTTCTCAGCTTGAAATATTGTGGCTCGGTTGCGGTGATTTATTAGAGGCGACTGGCACCTTTTGCTGCCTTCACAGCACTTTGCAATATTACAGACAGTGAACAGGTGGGGTGACCTGCCCTGTCCCAGCAGCGGTGACATTGCAGAGAGAACAGGACGAGGCACACGTGCCAAGATTTGGGCACCGTACCCAACTCTGAGCACTTGGGCGCCATCCAGGCAACTGGAATTTCACCAGCAGGAGAAAAATGCAGAAGCTTTGACTGCTCGGCAGAGTTGTGAACAAGACAGATGTCAGCTTTACCTTTCCAAAACGCTTCTCCTAGGTGGTACCGTTTTTCCAGTGGTGCTCCAGGGAGCAATGCTTACCTCAGCAAGCCGGGGCTGCTCAGGGAGCCTGGTGGAACTGAGAAGTGCTGCCTTGAAATGGGACCCAGAAATTACCCCCTTTTTGTTCTTGACATAATTCTTGCTGTAGACAGGACAAATGTGTCCAAATTAAGGGTCAGTAGTGCAGCACTAGGAACTCTTTCTGCAGCAAACAGGATTTTCTGTATGGCCAGGGACTGTGATTTCTTGGCTGTCACAGAGAGCCATACATGCCGGCTCCACCAAAGGTACAGGAGCTCCGCTCTTGCTTTCAGTGGGATTTGACCAGGATTTCTTTTGCATTATGAACAGACAGATTCCTCAGAGGACAGCCCTTGACCTTGAGAACTGTGTGTTGTGGCAGTGATTCCTCACAACTCCAGATTCAGCTTCCTCCATCGCGTCCACATTTTCTTTCTGCTTTCTTTCTGTTCAACAGCCGCTATTCATCCAAGTTCTTATTACTATGCAAATTTCAACATCTTATTTCTAATCTGCTCAAATCTCCCAGCATTCTGAACAGGGCTGAAATGATGTTCTGCTCTCAGGCTTTCCAATGACGCTACTTGTAAAAACTTCTCTGCCTTATCAGCGACAAACGCGTGGAACAACGGCCTGCCAGGAGCAAAGCTGAGCGCAGGAGGCAGCCGTGCTGCACCGGGGGGCAGCCCCACAGCTGGAGGTGCGGTGATGAGAGGCAGCTGCAGGCGCAGGTGCACACAGAGCCCTCGGTGCCTGCAGCACGCTGCACCTAAGAACACCTCAGCTTGTCTCCGAGGCGTGCATCCCAACCCCACAGCCCGACAAGGACGATCCTACGCACCCCCACCCACCGAGATCTCTCTCTGTTCAGCATGTTTAAGTTTGTTTTACAGGCACTGAGAGACACCATCTTCCCTTCTTTCACAGAGCTCCTGCACAGAGCTTTCAGAGCCTGCTGCAACAGGCACTGCAGCAAACAAGCACACGGATGTACCACTCTGCAGGAGCTTCTGCCCAAAGGAGGCAGATGGAGCTCAGGCGGCGGCCGACAAGCTCAGCCATCCTACAGCTCTGCGAGCTCTGCAGGGCTGCTCCACAGGTCTGGACACACAGACACGGAAACAAAGCCCACCTTGGTATCTCCACGCCTGGAGAACCCCATCGCACCACAGTGCAGAGCCCCACGGCCACGGGAGACGCAGCCATACCTGAGTGCGCTTTGCGCTGCGCCGGGCTGCCGTGGCGCAGGGAGGCAGTGCTGGGCCGGCAGCGCGGCTGGGCCGCGTGGAACATGTAGCTGTCGTTGGGCAGGGAGTGCGTGCGGCCCACCGACGGCTTCCTGACGCTCAGCAGGTCCTGGCAGGGGGACGGCGTCAGCGCGGCGTCCCTGCAGCGCAGCTCGGCCTACGGGAGAGAGGCAGTGAGGGAGCAGCAAGGCTGCACCGTCAGAGCAGCGCCCAGAGACGCGAGCGACAGCCATTGCAACCATGTGGTACGATGGGCATGCACATGGCCGGGATGCACGGGTGGCACAAATGGAGCTACTGGGAAGCTAAACCCCTCCTTCGCATCGTCGGTAAACTGCCACACGGAATGGACCACAGAAACAGAGGAAGCGACACCGCAGGAGTAAACCATGACTATTTCGGGGGTGTGAAGTAGGCATCATGCCTCAAGGCCGGCAGCAGTCACATGCTTTGCATGACTTTCATCTTCTGCAATAACCATAAGGCTGCCTCTCCTCTGTGTGCCCTCATCAGCAAGCCAGGCTTTTACAAAGGCGAGCAGTTTCCTCTCCTAGCGAAAAAAAAAATCAACAAGGCAAAACCTCACCAGAAGCAGTTTGCAGAGAACGTCCTCTATTCTGGCTGCCAGCACCATCTCATCGGTTGTCTTCTCACACACTGAATAACTAAACCCTTTTTATTGAAAGGGAAATGTAAACCTACTGCTTCGGGGTTAAACCCATCCTCAAATTAGAAGGGATCTGAGAGCAGCAGAGGTTATTGTGCACGTGTTGACTGCGGAGTTTTTATAGCCAGAGTCTGCTGGAGTAGGCAGCACCAGATGCAATATCGAATGGGCTACAATTTGGGTGTGATTTCATAAGGAAATACATCTCCATCCATTCCCATGTGTAACAGTAAGGAAAAATGGAAGCTCAGCCAGCTGCCCTGTGCAGTCCTAACAGAACAATTATCTCATCCTTAAAAGGTTTCCTTTGAAAACCACAGAAATCAGATGTGACGTTGCAGTTAATACAACGCACTGCCGAGCACTACTGGAAAAACTCAGGCCTGATTTTTTCTGATTTTCTCCCCTAGTCGTAAAAATGAAATTTCACTGCACCGTTTCATTTGCATAAGAACATATAACGAGATTAAATGGATTTTACAAAAAAAAAAAAAAAAAAAGGAAAAAAAGGAGGGAAGAAGAAGAAAAGAAAAATCAAGTTGTTGATGGACAGAGATCTGCATCACTGCAGCTTCACGTTCAGCCCTGGGGAAGCTGTGCAATGCATCCCATGGGGACCCGACCTGTGCAGAGCACAGCCCTGTGCTGCTGCAGCTGATGGCTGTGAGCCCTCTCCACTCCTCCTCCTGCCCTCCCCATAAGAGCAGTATTTATCTTTCATATCATTTCACTTAAAGCAAAAAAGATGGCCTGCAAGCAGAGGCGTCCAATTCAAGACTGTTTCATTTGAACTGGAGAATTTGGATTCAAGCTCCTGTCCAAAGACAACCTGTATGTACAGAGTGCCTGCCTGCCTCCTCTGCTCCTCCCAGGGCCAACCTCACAGCTCAGCTGCACCACAACCACTGGGAATGGCTGAAAAACGATCCTCTGAGCGCAGCTCCGGCAGCGCGTGACTCTCTGTTCCCTGGCACTTTTCACAGATGTGTTGTTTCGGTTTGGCTGGAAGGCAAATCTGGAGCTTCTGCAAACCAAAAAGAGAAAAAAAAAAAAAAAAATCCCAAACCAAATCTATCTGGAGTCAAACAAAACATTCTGTCCGAGGTGTTTTTCAGCTAAAGCCGTGCTGAAGGGAAGTGTAAAAACACCAAAAAAAGAAAAGCATTTTGACAGAAGTTTGCAGGATTTGGGGCAGACGCTTTGAGCGGGACGTGTGCTGGCGCTGACAGCAGCTCAGTCTGCCCTTTTCTCCCCTTCTGCTGAGGACAGGCACCTCTAGGCTGCGTCCCCGAGACCCTCCTGCTGCCAGCTGTTTGGCTGAGCCTCACCAAATGCTTCTCTCAGCTTCTCCAAACAAAGTGCCGCACACAAATGCAACTTACAAAGTCTTTTGCACGTGATGCCATGAAGCATGATGGGAAATATCGTCACGGTTTTGGAGGCGTTTCCCAAAGAAGTACTAATTAGGATGAGAACCAGCTAGAATGGCAGAGAAATTATCGACGACACAAACATCCAACGGCAGCTACACGAACAACAACAAGGAAAACAAGAATGGCCCAAAAATGTTGGAAGAGGAGCTGTTGTACAGCAGAAAAAAGCACTGGACTGCTACACAGCTAAAAATGTCTCATGTTTCAAAGAGGAGATGGTTAAGGCAGGGTTCAAAATACTGGTTGTTTCATTCAGGAAGGCACAGAGCGATCCCAGCTCTCTCTCTTTCTCAGTGAGATGATGCTACCACCAAAGCAGCAGCATCTCACAGATCCCCATCTGGTATCTGCGACACAAACTGGCTGCAATCAGGCACTGAGCCCACGGTGCTGCTGTTGGCTGAGGTGAGGAGCTCTCACACGGCCACGGGCTGCAGCCCATCCTTCTGCAGAGGACACGGGCATCGTCAGCTTGTGGGCGTCTCCTCCACACAGCATCACTGATTGGTTTCACATGGAGAGGAAATTTCAACCTTGACGCTTTCCAATGCATTTTTTTGACTATTTGTTTGACTTGCAGAAAACACTTTGTTTTACAGATGACGCCAAGGGAAAAATAATAAAGAAAAATGGTTGTTCCTCACGAGGAGCCAACTCTGTGGCCAAAGAGTGGTAATAGCCCACGTCCTAATGGCATTAAGGACAGCGTCCTGCCCGGGGGAAGGCTGGTGCTACTGGCACACGGGCTGGGACTTCGAATGCCATTAGGCAGGTGTAGGAGAACGCAGTATTTAAAACCCTGCAAACATCAGAACGTACAGCGACCAGTGTATGTACATTGCTTTCCAGAGCATTAAGTAAGAGTGTGTTAGTGTCATCAGGAAAAGAGTCATCCGTCAGAGCTAAGGACCAGGACTTTTCAGAGAGAATATCTGACGTCAGAGACAGAGCCTCCATCTCAGCTAGAGGGATCTGAAGGGAGAGATGATTAAGCATAAGAAACCAGGACACAAATCTTCAGAGAAAAAAGTACCATAATCTAAACACTTCTAAACACTAAAGCAATATCCCTGCGGTGGGAGCAGCTACATCATACACATTGTTACCAGGGACAGAACATTAAAGAAACGGAATATAACAAAGAAATGACAAGAAAAGTGGAACATTTGTACTTAAATGCTTACCAAGGAGTTGTGAGGGAGTTTAAAGGCATACACTATTGCCAGCATTGTGTGCTGGTGTCCTCCTGCCTAAGTGAAGTGGCAAAAGCAACATTACCTTCCTATGGGTGCCATCCGCCCTCCCAATTAGGGTCGGGCACAAGAGGCTGTGCCACCCCCTGCCCTCCATGCAGTGTCCTGTGAGGGGTGCAGGGGCTGCCCTCGCTGTGCTCTGGCAGAGAACATCCCTGTGCTGGGTCTGTTTGCAGTCCCTGTGCCTCCTGCCATGGGTCGCAAATTCCTTCTGTTTCCCAGCTATCCCTGAGCATTGCTTTCCCCTACCCTCTATATTTGAAAAGTCTTTCAACAGCACCGTGCTTTCCAGCAGAAAGCACAGAGGCCCAGATTGGCTGCTCTTGAGTTATCCCAGGGCTGGATTCTCTCGCTCCAAAGAAATTGACATCAGTGGGCTGAAATAAAGCTGGTGATAAACAAACTGTGAGTGGCTGCAATAAGCCTCTCCCCAGAGCTCCGTGGGATGCCCATGAGCAACGCATGAGAGACGCTCTGCAGTTCCTCCTGACTTCCCACGGGGAGCCCAAAGAGGCAGCACTGGGACAGCAGCCGTGCAGGGATGGTGATCCCAAATGGGGACGGCAGTGGGGTTGGCAGGAGGGAGCTGTGCACACCACAGTGCTTTCAGTGCCGCTCCGTGTTCCTGACTGCCCTGAGAACGTGACAAATGTTGCGAGCAGGAAAGCCAAAAGGTAAACAAAACAGCCTCCCATCTCCCAGAATTGGGTTTGAGGCAGTCAAAACATTTGGTTGGAAATATCCAAATGATTTATAGGTTTGTTAATTGCAGCAAGAAAAAAAATACAAATCTAGCTTAAATTTTCAAAGGAAAAGTCATTGCAAAGCAGAGCGCTATATTTTTTCATTACATAAAAACGTCAAACAGAAGCCTGTTTTTGCTGCAGCAGCACTTCCTGCGAGTGCAGTTGTGACAGCAGCTTCCCAAGCAGCTCTGATGAGCGCCGCGCTGCCCTCCCTGCCAGCCTGAGCCACCCAGCACAGCTCTGAGGGACGCAGCTCTGCTCCTTACCAACACTTGTCCCTAACGAACCTCCAAGGTGGACAATTTTGAGCGTCGGGAGCTTGTAAATAAGCACAGCGATTTAGCAAGGAAAATTCTGCTATTTGGAGCCAGAAAGAAATGGAGAAATAAGGAATTTGCTCAATTCCAAATGCAGAAAAAGGCATGTTTGAATTGCTGTTATGGCTGCTGCTGTGAGCGAGGGGAAATATTTGCTCAGGAGAATAGTGTGCTTGGAAAAGAAGGGTTTTTATTCTAAGTAAATGAACTAATTTTAAACGAGTACTACAGCCCCTATTCGAGAAAGTGCTGGAGCACACTGCTGCCTGAGGACATCATTAGGGGCTGCCTCGCCTCTGAGCTCAGCGCAGATCAGAGATGAGGATCTCATTCACACTGACCCACTTGCAAGAAGCCTCTTTAGGAAAACATTCAAAACTGGATTTTACTGACTCCTGTCAGTAGGAGTGAAATGCAGAGATCACTTCCTGATCCCCCCCTGCTCAGGCTCTCCTCTGGATCAGCTCACACTGTCCTCCCAGCTCCAGGTGGGAGCAAGAAGCCAACACAAGAACCCCACCGGAGGATGCTGCATTCTCCTTAAAACACTCATGAGCAGTACATACAATGAAAAGCTTCTCTCTGCGCTGGAGACAGAAACTCAAAGCTTGTGATTCTCCTCTCGCATCGGTATATACAGCTTCATAAAATCAGATATTACCTCGACGCCCACAGAACGATCCTTCAAAACCCCTGTGACTGCATTACATGAAGCAAAGAACTCTGACTCTCTATTAAAGGTCTCAGTGAAATCGAGTTTGGATGGAGACTTTGCAGGAAAGGAATATTAACCTGGTTCTCAGAGCTGTAATACTCGGGAGCAGGGAGGGCATAGTGATGGCACACAGAGCCTGACAGGTTGTCCATCAGCTTCAGCTCTCCTTCCAGAGACTCCTGGATCAGCAGGGATATGGTATCAAACAAGTGCCTTTCCTAGGAGGGGTGTGTGCATGCAGAAGGGAAGGGCCGAGCAAAGAGAGGGACGGAGACAGAGAGAGAAAAAAGGACAGTGTGGAAAACCCAAACGAGTAAAAGGGAGAGAAAAAAAGGAAAACAGGATAGAAGGGAAAGAAGAAAAAAGACAAACATTAATGGAGAATAGCAGTAACAAACAACAGGACGGGCAATGTGCGGAGAGAACAGTGCAGTAATATCGCAGTGAGCAGCGGCAGCTTTTCTCCGACCCCGTGGGCAGTGCAGAGCTGAGATGGGAGCTGCAGGGTTCTGCTCTCCTGCTCTGAGGTCTGTGTGCCCCAAGAGCACGTTTTGAGCAAAGAGAACCTCTTGTTTAACGCCTCAGTGACGCAGATGAAAATAACCCGACTCGAGGAGGCACTGAGCATCCTGCCCACAAAAACTGCTGACGCCCAGCACAGCCACACACCAACCCAAGTGGGCTGAGGCCTCCCACAGTCCTGGTCACTTTCTGCCTCAGCACAGACAGCGGGAGCATCACAGGGCACAGACCCAGCTTTCACAGGCAGCGTGGCAGCAATCTGAGGGCTGAACTTCCCATGTACGAATGCCTGGTGTGCACAGCGCAATGAGGACTGCCGTTACAGTCAGCACACAGTGCAAAAATCCCAGGGATGAGGCAAGCAAAAGAGCATGCTGACCACAGTCCTTGCAGGGTCACGTCCTGGGAATTGCATTCCTCTGCTGCCGTGCTCAGGCATCAGATTTTTCCTGAAGAGTTTGGCTGGCACAATAAATAATTGGAGTGAAATCTCCCAGAGGTTTACGAAGGCTCTGTTTGGGTGAAAGAGCAAGAGAGATGCTCCAGAGATGTTGACCAGAATAAGCCATACTCAGAAGGACAGCTTCAATGGCTGACAGCACCCTCAGCGAGTTCTCCTGCTGCTCTGCAGTTTCCCTTTCTGCCAGTGCAAGGACTGCTGCACAGCAATAGAGCTGAGGATGGTTTGCCAGCGCTCTGCTCAACGTGCACAGCAGCAGTTGGGGCATGTTATTTCTTCCTCGAGAATATAATGAGTCTGGATTTCCCCATATTGCCCTGAACTCCTTTTCGTGTGCCAAGGAGCAGCTCTGGACTCCATCTCCGACAGCAGTGGCTCCTAATGGAACCAGAAACTGCCGGTAGCTTAGAAACTGAAACAAAGCTTAAGCAGAGATTTACTCTTCTCACTCTTGGACTAAAGATCATAAATGAATTTTTCATGCATTAAAATACTCATTAGTCCACCCAGGCAGAGGTCAAGATACGCTGTTGTGAAATCATGATGTAATAAAAGCTAATGAGCTCTGTGTAGGGTTTAACCCGATCCGCCATCAGCTAAGACTAAAAAAAGGGCTGGAGCAATGTTCTTGCATAATTCCAGCACCGCTCCCTCCCAGGGGACACGTCTGGGCCATGACCTCACCTCCCCATCCCTCACACTGAGCTCCATGCAGACGCAGGGCTGGGAGCCTGCTCTGCTGCCCGCTGCCTCCAGCTCTGCTGAGCCCTGGATTATCCCACTGTTAACAGCGTTTTTTCATGAGCTCAATCATGGGGGTGGCTTTTCAATTGAGATTCTATAAAACAAATTTAATACTTAAGCAAAGATTAGCCAAGTTCCATTCCCCTTTTATGTTGCGGTTCGTGGCCGGCATTAGAAAAGCAAACTTATTATGCTCGTAATTTTGCTCTCACAAAGGGCCGAGCCCAGACTCTGCATTAGAGCTAATTTGGAGTTTAGCTCTGGACGGGGCAGCTCAGGCACATCTCCAGAACAAACTGCAAAGCTCTGTGCACCGTGGTGGGCTGCAGCCCTGCCCCGTGCTTCCTCCTGGGGTGCCCCACAGAGCAGAGAGGAACGCAAACCTCGGAGCATGGCACCCCTGCTCCCTCACTACCCCTCGTGCACGTCTTCCCCCAGCAGAAACACAAGGCAGCCCCTCCGCACCCCCCAGCCAAGCTTCTCACCATAGGGTAAACTAACGAGAGCTGAGAATCCACCTTGATTTGCAGGGGATGGGGGCATCCACGGGGGCTCTCGGGCCTCTCGCCACCAACGCCGCCCATCCACGTGAAGATGTCCGAGGGGCTGTGCTGCCCAGGGCTGATGGTCTTCATCTCCATCTCCAGTTCTGCCTCGAGCTCTGCCTCCTCTTTAGCCTCCTTGTTGCTCTCCTCCAGGTGCTTCATGAGCACGGCTATCACCACATTCACCAGGACAAACTGGGCCGTCAGCACGAAGGAGACGAAGTAGATGGGCGAGATGACGGTGTTGTAGCAGGTGGATTCCTGGTCGCAGTCTCGCAGGGTGTCCTGAAAACAGGAGAATAAGACTGAGGGCTGTGAGGAGGCTCTGGGCTGCCAGCACAGTTCCAGTGCCTCGATTCACAAAGCCCATTCTGCAACGCTAAAGACCAAACACGGCAGCGCGGTGCACAGCTCCCAGGCACAGCAGGGCGCACTGCTGTCCACCAGCTGCCCTGCGGACACCGTTCCCCATGTTCACAGGGGGACGAAGCACTGCGACCAGCTGGCCCTGTGTGCACAAGGCAGCTTTCACAACGGCACGGCTTTACGGCTGTCCACAAGGAGAGGTTCGCTCCCAGAAATAGGAGTTTTCCCAGAAAGTAAATGAATAAATAAATAAAATTTAAAAAACCCACGAAGCCACAACAAAGGAACACCAACAATTGTAACTGCGGGCTTTTAAGGAAACACAAAGCTAAACCAACAGGCCTAACTGGAATGAACTCATGTAACTTCAGAGAGGCGTCCCTTTATTTTTTCCCCTCTATTTTCATGCGGTTCTCTCTAGAAAAAGGAATATACGGAGCATGCAGAAGGCTGCAGTGTTGGCCCACCTCCAGGCCAACCTCACAGTGCTGGGCAGGAGGAGACAGGGCACAGTTGGAGCAGCTAGCTGTGGTACGTGGACCAATGCCACCAGTCATTTGGCAGGATAAGAGGTAGCGGCCTCACAGTGCGCCGGGGGGCTCAGGTTGGGCATCAGGAACAATTTCTTCTCCTAGATAGCAAGGATGCAGTGGCACAGCTGCACAGAAGCGGGGTCGTGCCCCGGGGCTGCTGAGCACCACGGAGACGTGGCACTGAGGGATGCGGTCGGTGGGGTGGATGGCCATAGAGGGCTCTTCCAACCCAACCGATTCTGTGATTCTACGTTTTGGGGGCCCCTCACCTTCATTATCCCGTTCCAGTTGTCCCCAGTGGAGACGCGGAACAGGGTGAGGAAGGCCATCCCGAAGTTGCGGAAGGTGGCGTGTCGGCCCAGCCCCTCACAGGGGTGTGTGTCATCGCACTCTGCAGGACAAACACAGCAATGAGATGCCGCTCACCAGCACCCAGCCGGCACGGGGCAGGGCTGCACTCACCCAGGTCGCCAAAGAGCTCCACTCCAAGAGCTGCAAATATGAAAAACAACAACATGAAGAGAAGACCCAGATTCCCCACCTGGAAAGAGAAAAAGAAACGGGGGGAAAAAAAACACAAAAAAAGAACATTCATTGATTTTTTTGTTCCAGACCTGTTTCTTGCTGTATTCTTTAATCCAAAACTTAAATTGCTTCAGGGGGAAAATGACCTCAATGTGAGGACTGTATCTCAGACTGTGCTTCGGAAGGGAAATGTGATTATCTAATGACAGCAGAGATAAAATGATTAGCATTCCTCCGCAACAAACACAGCCGTGGGCCGGAGGAGGCGGTGCTGAGGCAGGGGGTTACCTGGGGCAGCGCTTGCATCACGGTGTCCAGCAGAGCCCTCATCCCTACAGCCATCTTCAGCAGCTTCAGCACTGCGGAAAACACAGGCATGATATGGTGACAGCAGCATTGGTACGGGGCAGCAAACCCCATCCCTCTCACAGGGTTGCAGGAGGAGAAACATGAAATGATGGCAAGTGTTCTCTGCTAGCCACTACAGCTCCTGCCCTTTGACACCGCTCCTGGTTGCTTGGATACTGCTGAAATCCTGTGCCCTGCAGCATCACCCATCCTGAGAGCTGAGGAAGCACCGCCGTTCTGCCCGGCCTTCCTCTCCCCTCTCCCTGGGATGGCACTCTGGCACCCAGCGGGAGCACAGGGCCACACTGTTGGCTGCGGCAAGTGAGCCAAACAATGAGGTTAAGAGTAAAAGGCAGCTTCCCTTCCAACTCTGCTTTAAAGCTTCTGGCCGGGAGGAGCGGTGCCCTTTGGTACCTCTCACAGCACTGTGCACACCAGGTTTGTTCCCAGTGGGTTTAAACCCAGCAAAAGAGATGACAGAGAGCATCATTCCCCCCACTTCACCACTGCACCCCTCTTCTCCCCCCTCTTTCTTTCCCTGCGCTGTGAGCAGCTGTTTCCCAGCTCTGGGGCCACTTTCCTACTTCCATAGGCTGCCCACTTGCAAATGTGTAAATCAGAACCTCAGTGAATCACATCTCTTCCAGGAGGCTGCATACCCAGTTGGAAAGTGTATGTATTTTTAATTCTGAAAGGGATCCAATGCACAGGAAAAACACATTTTCCCCCACCCCTTGAGACACAGCAGCATCTCATTTCTTCCCAGTTCCCTCTTCGCTTAGAAGAGGGCTGCAATCACAGCAATTACACCTCAGAGCACAACAGTGCCCTTCAGGAGAGCCTGGCAGTACTTTATTTAGAGCCTGAGCACTCACATTTTGCATCTCTGTCATTTGGACCCACAAAGTTCTGCTGGGAAAGCTCCGGCCCTAAAGGAGCTGCCTTCCCAGCCCAGTACGTGCTGTTGCAGTGCGGAAGGAGAGATGGATGCACGGTGACAAGGCATGTTTTGTCACAATGTGGAGAGATGTAAAGTCTCACGGGAAATTAAATTTATTAGATGCTTGTCTTTTAAAGCCAATGCACTCAGGCTGATGTTCTGCAATCCCTGTTAGAGACGACTTTCATTTGACTGGCATGGTTTCCCAGGTACATCTCTGGGCGTTACAACCACAGCTATTTGTCTTTTAGTTCTAAGCTTTCAGCTTCAAGTTCCCTTAAGATAGAAACACACGGTCAGTCGGCTCAGCTCTTTGGCTCCTCGCAACTATTTTCCTCCATTGTTCTGTTATTTGTTTACAGAGTGCCGATGCCAGAGCTATGCACATTGTGATGAGGATGTGCCCCGCCACTGTTTCCCAACACTTAACTCTCTCCTGGAGGGGACCCTGCACCTCAATACAGGCAAATTCTGCTTAATTTGTCTCACCTCGAGCAATCCTGAGAACCCTCATGATTCGGATAATAGTGGGGTTAATTGGGAGCGAAGCATTCACCTCAATCTCTTCCAAAGTGATACCCATGATAGACAGCAGCACAATTGCCAGATCTAACTGGTTCCATCTGGAGACAACACAAAATGAAGTTTAACATCTACTAAGAAGCTGGCAACAGGAGGCAGATTGTTTCACACAAATTCCAGGCATTTCAATGGTTCTCACACTCAAATGAATCTGAGCATTTTTCTAGGGTATTATACAAAAGCAGTTATGTTATGAAATCATTATAATTAACACAGCTTGTTATAAAATCAGCCAATGGCCAACGATGCTCTTGGCTGAAGGGAATGAGAAACAAAGCAGTTCTGCATCCAGAGGCTGTGGAACTGAGGGGTGATGCTGGAGCTGCTGACGACTCCTGCTTTGCAGCACACGGGGCTCGCTGTGGGCTTGCCTGGGAGGAGCAGCCAGTCCTTGTAGCATGACCTGCTCTGGGCGTAAAACAAGCCCTGAGGGGTTATGAGAGGGGAAATCTGAGAAAGACGTCATTCTGTACGCTGCTCAGCATCTGCATGAAAAGAGGTCCTTTCCCTCCTTGGTTTCTGCTCAGGAGCAGATTTTCTCTCTCAGGACAATCTGTTCTCATTCACCCGGCCTTCCAGGTTCTGCAGGCACGCTGCTGGTGTCAGGAGAAGATCTGCTGCCCAGCACTGCCTTGTTGTCCGTTTGTCTGCCCACCACACGGATGCACATCACACACCTCCTCATGCACACTCCTCTCTCCAGCCCCCACCCCACGCAGTTCCAACCACCACACCGAGAAGCTTTCCCTCGTGTTACCCAGCTAACACCAGAAGGGTCACCGGGCTCTAAAACCCTGACCTTGGGCAGCTGTGTCCTGCAGCCCCCAGGCAGCCAAGCCGCAGCCTGTGTTACCTGTCTTGGAAGAAGCGACGGAACCCGAAGGCAATGAGCTTGGAAACAGACTCCAGGACAAAGATAACGGTGAAGATGTAATTGCAAATCTTCAGGGCTTCGTCGAGAACCTGTGGTGAGGACAGAGCACAGAAGTTAGGTGCCAGCTCTGTGCCAGCAGGCCTGCCTTCACCGTGTTCCAGCAGAACTGCTGAGTCCCTAACAGGACAAAAGGCTCAGCAGGATGACAAATGTCCCACCAAGATCATCTGTTCCAACTATCAACCCATTCTCATCATCTGCAAGCAGACCAGAGTGGTCCTATGGCCATGGTTCAGCCCTCTGTGCTGTCATCCCACAGCACACCAACCTCAGGGTCATTACGCAGATGCTGCATACCAGAGGCTTAGAGACAAAATGTGATTTTCCTAAAGAAAATTAAAAACAAAAAGCTGCCCAGCACAGTTATGATACAAGAGAAATCATGGCTGCAGAGCGGCAGCGAGATGCAACGCCCTCACGAGATTCCAGCGCAGGCTCTGCAGCCAAAAGCATTGCTCATCACCAACTGACTGAATCACACAGGAGCTGCCAGGGCTGTTTGAAGGTGACCCAAACAGAAGAAATAAACTGGGCTTTTTGGCTCCTTTATGATAGGCTGGAGGATATTTTTCCCTGTATTTAATGTTTTTGTTTTTTTAAACATTAAGTATTCAAACCCTGTGTAGTTTTAGAGAATATTTCCTTTTATTGTGTGCTGTATTTATTCATTCTGAAAGTAGCTAATAAAAATAAGTACAAGTTATATGGCAAAAGCACCTATTTCCATCTCCTTCTTACGCACAAGAGGCTTGATGGCCCAGGACAGGCTGTTTTTATTTCCAGAATATGACCCAAACCCAGAACTGAGCACACTAATACATTAAAATGTATTTTAAGGACCAGCATAGAACCCAGTGCCTGTGAAAATTAAACCCTATGGGACTTTGGGAGAAACTTTGCAAAGCAGAAAGCTTTCATAAATGCAATTTTTTTTTTTTTTTTTTTTTTTTGGTGCAAACATTCAATCAAACAGAGGGTTTTAATAACGATCCTTTGTAGCTAACGAAACAAATGCTCTCCCAGCCCAACTGCCAGAGCAGTCACCTCGCACCTAACCAGAGGGCAGAGGTGCAACAGGCCCCATCCGTACGGATGGATACAGCCTGAAGGCAGGGACAGGATGGACACCTCCAGCCCAGGGATGGGCATGGTGAGCAGGGCCCCAGACCAAAGAGCAGAAGCGCCCTGAATCGCGCCCACCAGCCACAGCACACTGACCTTGGGCTGCTGGTAGTGCTCCATGGCCATGGTGATCACGTTGAGGCCGATGACGCCGGTGATGAACAAATCCAGGTAATGGCTGGTGCACATCTGGTGGATCAGGAAGCGGAAGCGGGAGTAATCCGAATAGTAGGGCTTGCACTGTGCTTCTGCAGCGGGAGGAGAGCCGAGAGCACGGCGAGTCACTCCTCTGTGCCTCCATGCAGCCAATGCACCCTCACCTCCCACGCTGACAAACTCTAGACTGATTACAGCAACATGCTGTCGTCTTCTTCCCCTCCCTCCCCCTCTGCTGCCACGTTACCACCTTTAATGCACAGCAGGGCTCCTGTCAGCTTACATCCATTAAACACCTTCAGCGGGACATGCGCTATACTCAGCCTTACGGCATCAGGGATGAGGTGAGCTGGGATCATTGTGCTGAGGAGTGTTCTCACCATTGGGAAATTTCAATTAAGTTTAAATTAAGCCGACAATTTTTGTTGCTGCTGAGCTTAGAAAGTCCCCAAAGCATCCAAAAGCCCAATTAGCAGTCAGATGCCAGGGACAGATTTTAGTACCAGTGGCTTAGAAATAAAGGGCGTTCAGTTAGCGGTGGGCTTTGAAAGAGAAGTAATTTGGTCCTATTATGTTCTTTGCAGTAAACTGCAGAGAGAACGAAATTCAACACTTGGGCTGTCAGAGCCGTGAAGAAGGGACCATAAAAATACCACGGGAAACTGATCAGTCAGCCTCAGCCGTTAGGAAATAACGGCTCTCCGTTTTATACCAGATTACCGAGGCACAGATTTCGCTGTACAACTCATTCCCAGGTCAAGCTGCCTCAGAACGACACGTGCTCTTAGACCCCAAATGTTCCCACGGATAAACTCATTTACTCACCTAATCTCTAATGAGGAAATGCCAAGGCTGAGTATATCATTCAGTACCATTTTCAAGGAGGCATTATAATGCAGATTGAAGTGGAAAGGACTGTCTTGAATATGTCAGAGTGTAACATTACTCTACTAATTAGATGATCAACCGGTTACGAAAATCGTTGAGCTGTAAGAATTACACGGCTTGATATTTTCTGCTCGTGTGCAGCCTGATGCATTACACCGAGCAGAAAGTTGGGCAGAACGGAGCTGTGAAGGCCGGGCTTCAGCTGCCCTCGGGGAAGACTAATTTTAGAAGATTAAGTTTTGCCTGGAAATAGAATTCGCTTTGTCAATAGTCAGAGGCATTGCAATCAAAGCCATAGGCTGCATGGCTTTGTGCACTCCCTGCTTCACAACAGGATCCTGAAAATCAGAGTTGCTTTGGTTTTTCCATAGAGACAGGCTTTTCCCCTACAGCCCGGGCACCAGAGAGACAAACCAGCGAGAGGTTTTATTCTGTAGGTGTTTGGAATGGCCACAGTTTGGCCTCAGCACAGTCACATTGAAGGCAGTGTTAACATTCCCTTTCTGCCCTGCAACGCTTGGGTGCTTGAGGTGATCTGTGCTGGAGAGCTAAAGCACAGCGTGGATGGAAAGGCCTGCACAATGAATTTCCATGCTGCACCTACTGAGTGCTTATAAAGAAGCAGAGCAGCAGCTGCTGACTCACTCATAAGCCTATGTCAGATATCTTGGAATCTGCATAAATCTCCATAAAGTCAAGATATCTCGATCACATTATGCTAAGTTATGAGTAGCAAATTAACTAAAATGTTTGAATACAATTAAGTCAGGAACAGGACCTATTTTTATGAACCAACTTATCATCTCAGTAAGAAACACCATCGTAATTGGATCACTTCTCTACATTTATGTCTAATTCACATTCAAAAAGAAAAAATGTCAGGGTTTCTGCCTTTTCTTGCAGTGGATTTACTTATGAATAATCACACTGGAATTCATGTTTTTTCAGCTTTGATTGACAGGTAATTCCAAATCCTACAGAATAGCACCGCACCATTAGAACAGAGAGAGGATTTAGAGAGAGGCTGTAAACTGTCCCCTGCGCAGGGATCTGCACCTGGATGAGCTGCTGTGTGACCTTATAAGCAGGGTTGCTAATTGCTCGTCTACCTCCCCCCTCCCTGCAGCACCAAGGCTCTGCCTCGCCTTTCCCAGCACATCCTCAGGGTTTCCACAGCCCAACATCTCCGGGTGCCGCCTTAGAAAACTGCTGTTGGTAAACACTTTGTCCTTCACCATTAACTTCACGAGGAGGGGATTTGTCAACCCTGTTTATAAATCAGACCAGCGCTCATCGCACCGTGCTCTGCATGCTGGCCATGCAAATCAGTGCAGCACTGAGATCACCTGGTGATGAACCAGCCGCACACCCACAGCATGCTGCCCGACACACAGCACTGTGCCTAGGGAGGCAGGGAGCTCCTGCTGTCGTCTGAGTGCCATTTCTATAGGAGCAGAGCGTTTCTGCACACCCATCGGGTGGTACTGGTGCGTAATTATCCAGTGCAAAGCCCCTGCCTCCTACCGCACAGTGTTCTTTGGAATTATTGCAGTAAAGATCTAAACAATACCAACATCTTGGGAAATACAGACATCTGTTAAACTCCAGGTGGTGAACTTCACAACTAACACAACACCACATTACTGTACTGTTACAATACACTGTGTCAAGAACAACAAGAGCTCTGGGTTAGTCTTGGTTATCATTGAAAGGTTAACTGGCTTCCCGGCACACGTGGCGTTAAAGAAACAAGGAGAGCAAATGAACAAAAGAAAGAATGGGCAGAATGAGAGAAAATGGGAAAATACAGCAAAAGCCCACTACGAAACATCAGGCTGGTAAACAGGATGTAAATCAAGCTGCTTCACTATGGCTGCAGGCCAGGAGCGGGGGCGAGGGAGCTGCATCAGCTGGAGATGAGCTCCTCTGGACACAAGCAGCTCAGGCTGCAGGTCCCAAGCAGTTTCCTCCTAGCCCAGGTAGGAAGGTGATCCAGCAGAGGGAGATGGTGGTCCTGGGAGCCCACTTGCTTCTCCCCCCCCAGAGATGGGCTCTGTAGGGCTGCAGCAGTTGGGTCGATGCCTGGCACAGCAGCACCAGCCTTCAGCTTATCACTGTTACGAGTCCTCCACTCGGGCTGTTTCCCAAGCAGGGTTTCCCTGCTCCTCCCTGCAGCACCACATGGGATGGGGAGCACAGGCAATGCCTGCCAATGGCTGGGAGCAGAATGCTGCAGCCTTCCTGGCACATCCGAGCATCTCACTGTGCTCTGGCCTCAGTTCCCCCCCCCAGCCCACTGCCTAAGGCAATGCTACTGATGTACCCGCTGCACCCCCCACCCCACAGTGCCCCGCTGCAGGAGGTGGGATGCAGAAGGGCCTGGGGGACAGTCCTGGGGGCGCTGTGCAGATACGACAGCCCCATAACTGCAGGCCCTCCCTGGCTGCAGGACAGCTGGTGTCACCGCTGGCGCAGGGCTGCCTCCCAATATTGCCCTGTCAAGAGAGAAATTGCTGCTTTCCCCAAAGTGCCTTTGCAGTCAGAGCTGTGTGGGCACAGGAAATTGGAATTCACGAGAGTGGGACAACTTCATTACAGTCTCCTCTGGCTTTTCCCTTCTTCTCTAATAAGGGAATTAACTCCTTCACAGGTCTGGGTATATCTGGAGGACAGCAGCAAGCCGTGAGCAATGAGCCTGTGACGCAGCTGGATTTACAAACTGTATCAGGAATATTATTAGATTAAAAAGTAGTTTGCACTGAAGGAACTTTTTGCTTTTTCTATTTATACAGAGCATTTTACTTGGCTTTTATTGTACTGAATGGATTTATCTTAAAAAAAAAAATAAAATAAAAAAAATAAAAAGCAAAACAGAAAATAAATTATTTCCACTGTGAAGTTTCCAGTTGTGACAGAATGCAGACTGATGAGAAAATAAAAGGAAAACTATAAAACTGTAACATCCCAGTGAGCACCAGCACACAGCACTCCGTCTTATCTTCACACCAAGAGGAAGGCAGTCCCTCAGGAACCACCCATGTGTGTGGGTCTGAGGCTCCCATCTGCGGCATCCCCTGGGCCATGGGAGGACCAACCCTCACCCACCACCACCCCACAGGGACCAGCTGGCAGCCCCACATTCTCTGAGATGAAACCCAATGGAAAGGCAACACAGGGCAACACAGAGCACAGCCTGAGTCTGCATGGGATAATGGAGGGGACTGGAATGAGTTCAATGCCTTAAAAAGAAAATAAAATAACGTAAACCAGGCTCGATGCAACTGTGCACGAGCAGAAGAGGCATCACAACCAACCAAACAACAAACGCAGCCCCACGCACAGGGGGAACCCAGCACTGAGCGAGGTCTGGCAGCCCAGCACCGCAGAAAGAACAGGGCCTGCCAAGGAGGGCGAGAATGAAGGCACAGAAATAAAAACACCGGGAATGGCAGCGGGAAGGGATCGATCAAAGCATGTTGTGGTAACTTCCACCGCAGCCCCAGAAATACAAAGGTGGGACCCCCTGCCCCACAGCTGTCCTCCGTGCCCAAAGCCAACAGCCCTCACCTTGCAGCTGTTACTCAATCCATGCTCTGTGCAATGTCTGACAGGTGGGTGGATTTTTCACAGGTGAGAGTTTTAACGGCACAGTTTTCCCAGGATATTATTTCTGTTGAAAATTATAGCTATACTTGTTTCTACATTGGCGCCTCCTTAATTATTCAGGCTAATATTTGTGAGCTACAAATTAAACAAAACACTTGGCTGATCAAAGCTTCCTCTGACAATAAAAGGAGACAGACTTATGGCAGGGCACGGCCCGAGTCCTGCAGAGGGCACAAGGCAGCATCTTTACTCTTTTTAACCCAGGAGATGCCCTGTGGACGGAGCAGCTCTCAATCAGTGAGAAGAACTCATAGGTTTGGTAGAACTACAGATAATCCCCACATCATAGCATCACGCGATTGGGATGGAAGGGACCTTAAAGATCATTTCCTCCCAGCCCTGCTGGAGGTCAGTGTGGGGAAGATCCTGGATCTTATCCTGCTGAGTACTGTGCCTCCCTGCGTGGAGCAAGGGTGGAGAAAGAACGAAATGCTCCCCCTATGTGGCCCTGCCTGCCTTCAGAGACACTCCTGCAAATCACTCACACTCCTCAGCCTGTGGTTGGAAAGCCAGAGTAAACAATCAAAGATCCTTTTCACAGTCCAGTCATTATTCTCTGAACTAAAAAAACAAAAACAAAAAACAAAAACCACAAAGAAAAGCTATGAGAAGTCTGACAGCGTTCAACGAAAGCCAGAAGAAAAAAATAAATAAAAAAAAAGATGACTGAAAAACATGAGATGACCATTGGATAAATTAAGGGTTGGCAAGTGTGAGTCCTGAGGCAGGCCGGCAGACCTGCAGTCAGAACGAGAGCCGTGTGCCGCGAGGGAAGCGCCGAGCCTTGCACCACACACAGGTTTAGTGGGATGCCTCCGAGCAGCGCGGCCAGAGTTAGTTACACAGCACTGCCATTCACGGGACACAACGCCACAGCTGCCCAGTACCTGGCACCGCGCTGGCTGTGCTCTCCATTAACACATCATCCAGCATTAGATCTAAAAGAACAAAACGGCATTAATCATCCGGCAGGACACGCAGCGATCCCCTTCCCCGTCAGAGGCTCCTGCGGCTCTGCATTGCCTCCGTTCAGTATCTCCTGGCGGATCCTCTCCTTGCATCTCAGGGAGGGCAGCTCGGGTATTGGGGCTCATCGGGAAAAGCGAAGGGCTCCCGTGCTTTTCCCGTGGTGGGAGCCCAAGAGAACGCCCTGGCTTGGTGATGAGGAGGAGGCAGTCCTGAAGGACAGAGTGGGTACCTGAGGTAGGGCACACATCCTGCTGGGCCAGCGCCTGGCAGCGGCCACTGCATTGCCTACACCTCACCAAACCGGGGTCCCACACACTTCTCTGCTTTGCAGATGTCAGACTGGGGAAGTGCGTTTGAAAAGTCTATGAAGAAAAACAACTGTTAGATGGGCTACACCTGGCTGCATGGAAAACAGACATCTGTGGGCAGGTGTGGGCGCTGGGGGACGCTCAGAATGCCCTGCCAGGAGCCCCCATGCAGCTGTTGGTACCATCCCTAACTTGGCATCACCTGCAAGCTCCCACCATGCAGGATGAAGCAATGGTATCTGTGGGCTCCTAAGGCAAAGCTGGACAAGGTTGTTTAAAGTCAACGTTTGGCTGAACGCAAATGGGGAAAACTGTTCCAAAGAGATTTGGAGGGCTTCAGACTTTGCTCTTTAAAGGTTTTTATGGCAACTGAATTTTCAGCAATATTTGATCTTCAATAAAGCAGCTCTTATTGCCTCTTTAATTAGACATTTCGTAGGACTGAATGAATAACTGTATCTCCAAGAACATTTTGTGATTCCTTTCCACTAGGAAACTGCCCAGACTTACATCTTCTCACCATCTAGTTCCTCTAGCGTTATAAATAAGGTTATCAATAGTAACTAAACATCTATTTTCCTTCTACGTCTGCCTTCCAGAACTGTGACTTTAAACAGGGATCTTTCTATTCGGTGTTTAAAAGCATTTTCTACCATCAGCCTGAAATTGCATTTGGGAAATTGTGCTGACCGAAAGAGGCTCCCAGGCAGCACCAGCTCCTTCCACTGCACTGCACTCAGCTGAGAGCAGCCTGAAGTGCTTGCAGGGTAAGGTGATTGCAGATAACTGGCACTAAAAAAACAAACAAAAAAAAAAAGCTGATGGTCACAACTCACTGAAAGAAAGAAAAATTTGCTTACCCATCCCAAGCATCAGGGCTCACTGAACGCTCCAAAAGGAGGGATCTCCAGGTAGAGAACCTTTCTCTGTAGCAGCCAGCCCTTAAATGAGGCTCAGAGTGGGGCGGAACCTTCTGGTTACACAGGTGAACTGTTTTCAGCTGTGCTCCCAGGGCTGCCTGTGTCCCTTCTCCAGGTGCTCCATCATGGGCTCAATCAGGCTGTTACTCAGTAATTCCCATTCAGTATTCTCTGCTGCTCCCAAGGGAAGCCTCCATCTTCCCATTGAGCAACAAGGGAGACAGGCTCTTGGCACAAAGCAAACCCTGATGCCCAGAGGCTGCTATGATAATGCTATTGGTTACAAAACCTGGGAAGGTAATGTGACCTAAAGACAAGGGAAAGTGCTGCATAAGTGCTGAATGGAGAGAGGCTGAGAGAGGATGATTGTGCTACGTGGCTGAGCAACCTGCCACAGCTATTAAATGGCTCCTAGATTATTAAAAAAAAATAAAACTGACTTATTATCACCAGCTTTCAGAACAAGTGTTTGATCAGACAGTCTCTGAAACAGTACTGAAGTCTGTTGAAGATAGAGTTGTGAGAAGGGACGTAGAGAGAAGCAAAGACAGACTGGGGGGAGTGAGGCCATGGACACAAAGGGCGAGGAGGAACCTTTGGGCAGAGGAGACCATGTGAGAAGAGTACATCCGACTTTGGCCCCTGGCTGACTTATTCCTTAATTTTTGAACCAAAATATAAAAAAAACAAAACAACACCCAAAGACAAAGATAGAAGACCATTGACAGAGTGGAGGCTGAGCACCTTTCCCTTTCAAAGCCTCCTCTAGAAGGTCTGCAGGTGTGCACACACAGCTCGGGGCTCAGTTCACTTTGCATCACTGCCATTTTGCCTCCTTAGTTACTCTCCTCCCCGCTTTTGTTTTCTAATCTGTATTTCTCAAGCAAATGCTTTGATATGTGTTTCTCTGAGGGGTTTTTAAGCATTACTAGAACGAGATGTCTCCATTATTTTATTACACTCTTGAATAGCAGTGGTGCTACCATGCCAATAAATAATCCTGCGTGATAAATGGGACAGGTGGCATCACTGTGGCATTACAAGGCTGTAATAAACCAAATAGTGAATCCAGTTATCAGCAACAGTGCTCATGACTTGGAAGATGGACGGTGCCATCCAGCACTGCGGATCTTTGCAGTTGTCACTATTTGTGTAACACTGAGCGCTGCCATCCAAGAGGCTCCAGGTCTGGTTATCATTACTTTTTAAATTTAAATAACCTCCAATGGGAAGGTCGTTGCAAATCACGCAGTGATTGAAAAGGCTTCCGTGTCTCCTTGCTCAGCCTAAAATCACACTACTTCCTTCATGCAAATTTCATAGCTGGACATGCTTTTAGGAGAAGAATGATCACCAGATGCGAGGCAGGGAGGGGGGGGAGAGGGAACTGTGTGGAAAGTCAAGCAGGACTCAGAAAGATGTGGAAAGACTACCGACCAGCCATCTGTTTCTCCTTACTCCTTCTCTTTTTCTCCAGCCGGCGAAGCCTCTTCTCCTCCCTCCTCTTGGCTTCTTCTTCCTCCTGGTGCTGCCGACACTTGTGGAAGTTCTCCACCACGACCCCCACGAACATGTTGAGCACGAAGAAGGCCACGATGAGCAGGAAGGAGATAAAGTAGAGGAGCATCCACGGGTTGTAGTTCATGACTGGCTACAAAGGGGATGGAAGGCAAATGTCAACGAAACCTCAAAACAAAAGGAGCAAATAGTTACAGCTGCTACATCCGAAATCTGGACAGTGGGTGACCCTCTGTGGCAGGGCAGTGCACTCTGCTCCCTGTGACCACAGCCTTCTGAGCTGGTTCAGCAGAGCAGTCCCAAATCACAAAGTGCGCTCAGAACCACATCTGATCTGCCAGCAGCATCCCCTGCAGCCATCGTTGCCCTCACTGAAAACCCAGACCCACGCTGAGCTATTCTTTTCTCCCAAAATGCTCTAAATTCCAACCTTCTCTCTTCAGCAAGGGCCGTTCATCTGCTATGGCCTTATTACACCAACAGCGTGGCAAAATCTGTAGGGAAAAGGCTGGCTTCAAGCCCAGGGCTCCTCGCTGTGCTCCCTCCTGACGCATTGCCCTTTTGTTCTAGCCGCATTTCTGGCTCCTTGCAGCTCATACCTGCTGGTCAACTCCCACTGCATCCAGGCCGTCGTACATGATATCCACCCAGCCATCCTTGGAGGCCAGCACGAAGAGAGACATCAGGGCCTAGAAAAACGCAGAGAAGAGTTGCAAGGAGTTGCAGCAGAGATTTTTCACTTGTAACACTTTACTCCTCTTAGCCCTTTCCTGTCTGCAGATTGCCATTAGCTGGCTGATAATGGGGCACTTTGATGCCCAAGGTTTCTCCTGGCAGCAAAAACCCATCAGTGTCAGAACATGGTTCAGCAACGAGTGCTAATTCGGAAACCACAAAGCTGAACACAAAGCAGCTTCGTTTCCACCCTCCAGGTCTCTACTGCTCCCTGCTAATTAGTCCTCGCCATGCAGCTAAAATAAGGCAGTGTTGCAGAGATGGTTGGATGTGTCCGGCTCTATTAGACAAGCTCTTCTGCAAGATATATTTGGTTTGTTATGTAGCAGTGAAGCAATTAAGTACTCCACAAAGCCACACGTGCTTGTTCTGTTCTGAAAAGAAGTGTGTGGCTGCTTGGAAACACCACCTTTGGGATTTACAGAGACAGAATGCTGTGTGTGAACTGAATATTTACTGTGACTGGCAGTGCCCTGTAAGAAAATCCCATGGGATAATAATGCACAGGTTTTAAGTCAAGAAGGTAAAGGAGCAAAGAAGCAGATTACCGTGCTATTAATACCTGGCCGAGATTATCAAAATTATACTTGTGCCGGACCCATTTGTAGCTTGCTTCTGCACAATCCGATTTATTTGTGATGTTTCTGGTGTCCTCCCCCTGGCAGATAAAAAACTTGCCTTTGAAAAGCTGCAAAACACACAAAGAGGAGAGGAAAGGTAATGGCTCAGACCACAGGATTTCTCAGCAGAGGATGGATATTTCTCACAGGGAATTCTGCACAGCCCATGCAGCCAGATGAGTCGAGGGAAATCGCCGCGTTCATGTGGGCTATGGACTGAGCAGCCTGCCTGATCCGTGCCTAATGAGCAAACGCATCATTTCACACCATTCTGGGCACCCACACGGGGCATTTGCAGCTTCGGTTCGGCGCCCCGAGAGCTGCCTGCAGCCCTTTGCTGCCAGGCTCGTTGCTGGGGCATGCGGGTTGGCTCTGTGACCCAGCGAGCAGCGCTGGCAGTGCCGGGCAATGCACTGTGACCGGGCCGTGCCAGCTGAGCGCAGGCGGCGCTCGGAGGCACAGCCATGAGCCGTGCTGCTGCTGGGGAGAAGGGACACACTGCAGGACAGCCCAGGTGCTGCAGCTGGGCTCTGCTGCGTGCTGGGCTGGCTGCGCTCCGCCTCGGGTCTGAATGCTGTTCTCCAACTACCGCTGTGCTCTGAAAATATTCCTCGTGTGAGGCGTCAGCCTGGTGCCCGATACCTGACCCTGACCTTCCTTCCTTTGGTGTAAGGCAGGAGAGATGCAGCTCCTGGGAAGCAAACTCCTGATCTACAAACGCCCGAGGAACAGCAGCCTCCCTGCATGTAACTGCAGGCAGTGGCAGGGGATGAGGACTGCTTCAGACATGATTGATGCCAGTGGAACGGAGGGGCTCGCAGCCAGCCATGCAGCCAGGTTGCTTATTTGCTGACAGAAGCTGCTGTTTCGGGGAGAGCTGGCAACCTGCTCCTTAAAACACCACCTGGGTATACAGAGGAATGATGCTGATGGGTTTTGATCTGCCGTTGTAGATAAATATCAGTAGAAATAATAGCAAACAAGATAAACCCACACATTACTCCATGGGTTTCCTTCAGGAACCCGCAGCAGCAGCAGGATGTTCTCTAGGCACGCAAAGGTAATCGCCATCCAACGCAACCATAAAACTCTCGGATGTAAGAAGAGTATTCCCTGATCTTCCCGTGGAGAAACACTATCATGCGTAAGGCAGACAAGGGAGATATAGCTTGCAAAGATCAGAAAGTTTTAATTAAGCAGGAAGGTAAACAACTGTTCTAATATATCGTCCATAAATACAATCTCTCCTGGAGCCGGACCGTAATGCCTGTCAGGTGGGAGCAGTAACACAGCTCCTAACTGGGTTTGGAAATGCAGAGCCTGATTTGTAAGAATGCTGCTTGCTGGTGGTGCGTCAGTCGGAGCTCCAGCTTCCAGCACTGCCAGAAGGGAAAGGCCGAGGGTTTGGCAGTCTGCTGCTCGTGTCTGATTAATCACCATCCACACGTGGATGAGCACCACGACAGAACCAGTCTGGCTAAGAGGAGACGCCGTTAGAAGCTCCCAAGTCTGAACTGCCATCGCGTAAAGCTCTATCAGCTGTACTTTGATCTCCTTCACACGGGAAAACCAACTGTAACTTGGAGGGATCATCTTTTTATAGAAATAGTACGGCCCTCATCTCACCCCTAATTACACATCAACATTAACCGAGAACTTTGCTTCCCGAATACAAGATCAGCCTTACTCACATCTACCCCTGAAGCACATCGATAGTCACGACAATTTAACAGAAGACAGTGAGTCACAGGGGAAGCATCACAATTAGTAGGGAGGAAATCCAAAGGGTGCACTGCAGGTTTTGTTGGTTGGCATCAATTTTCCCATGCCTGAGTTTTGTACCGTTTTACAGGATGTGCTTAGCTTTCTGAATCACCTCAGCACAAGGGATGGAGGCAGTTAGCTGTGACAGAGCCAATCCAGCTGCCCATGGTTATGGATGGCACAATTCTCTCCTCTGTTTATTTCCAATGCCGTATTCATTATTTATACAGCACATTAGTAAAAAACATTGCATAAGACGCTATTCTGAAACAAAGCAAAGCAGAGCTGCTTCCTAAAGCTGGCTGCAACAGGGCGAGTAAACTTCAGAGAGAAATCAGTGTTATGTCAGAATACTTGTGTGAAACAATCTCTTCTTCTCAGGTAATGAGAAATCAATTAAATAGGAAACTCTCCCACTTTTTCCCCTGGGTTCCTGCATTGCTAGGACTGAGGATATTGCTAGCAGTGCCAGCAGGAATCAGGCTTGGAAATCTCTGCTTCTGCAAGCCCTCAGTTATACAAACTGTCAGAATCTGAATGAATCTCCAGGTCAGGGTCCCTCTGGAGTTTACACACCAGCGATTTCAGCCTTGAAAGCTTCTATTTCCCCATTGCTTTAAACCTAGAAGGAAGGCGGAGGGGAGATGTCCCCATGTTATCTCACAGACTGAACAGGAATGGGATTTAAGTTTCCCTGAGCTGAGGTTTGCTGGCAGTACATGTCATGCTTCAGGCCTCACTCTACTGTGGTGTGGCCAGGGGAAGGAAGAAAGTGGAGAAATGGTTTGATTTATGTCCTGCTGCAGGCAGAGCAGAAGTCCTTGTGGTGGGGAAGCGATGAAGAAAGCCCGTTCTGTGCCTTTCAGGGGGTCATCGTGGCTTTCGTACCACTGCATGCAATAGGAAAGCTTCAACACATCAAGTGGCACACAGCCACGACTGAACTTCGGAAATAAATGTTTCGAGGGCACTAGAAAAGCCACATTGTGCTGCTGAGGGGGTCCAAGAACTGCTTAAGCCCTTGGGTCTGACTCATTCTGGGCCATTAACTATGGCACAACTACAGATTCAAAACCAACACGCATTTCTGGAGCATGGGCACAGGACCTTGACGGAGCCACAAAGAGACAAACCTGACGCTGCTCCGTGGCTCTGATCTCTGCTACTTCAGCTACTGCTAGCGATGCACATGGCTGCTCACTGTTAGGCTGTATTCTTTAGGGAGTTTTTAATGGCTGACTAATTATGGGAATGCTGGTGCTTCCTTGCTAGAAGGAAGAGCTCCCCAGGAAGCTTTGGTTTGGTACAAACAGCCAACTGTGAGATCAGCCAGGGCTTGTACACTTATTGTCTTGGTGCAGAGGCATACAGGGACTCACCTGAACTCCCAGGATCCCAAAGATTATGAAAAAGGCACAGCAGATGACCACAATGTTCCCAATGGGCTTCAGGGATGACATGAGTGTCTCCACCACCAGCTTCAGTCCTTGGGCTCGACTAATGACTCTGTGGGGGCAAAGAAGCACAAAGCCTATGTCAGTCCTGCTTGTGCCTGGTTTTGCTTCTGATGTGGAAAAGAATGGCAAATAACTCAAAAATCAGGATGGGAGAAGCAGTTCTGCAAGAGTGGCCTCTGTGGTTGTCAAGGGAGAGGGGTCTCTGCCTGTGCACACAGCCACGTGTGAGAGGAGGAGAGCACATGTGAGGAGCCAGGAAGGTCAGTGCAGGAGGAACGGCGGATATAAGGGCTGGCCTCATATTTTTCAAGCTTGGAGTGATGGTTTTATCTAACCCACTGTCGATCCTCAATCCATTTCCTGATCAGCTTCCTACACTGCCACTCATTATGGCATTCTTCTTCCTCCAGTTTGGTCTGAAGGGCTCTCTACTTTCCAGCCTGGACCACCTTCCCTGGGATGCAGCCTCCTGCTCTGCTTCATGCACAAGCACACACCTGTATGTCTGTAGCGCATCCAGGACTGCAGAATCCTCCCACAGTGCTCTTCTGTGTAGTTTCAGGCAAAGCTCCTCATTTCCCCATAGCTGGAGAAATGCAGCAGCTGCTCTTAGAGCTGCCTGCAGACCCGGTGTGCCCACAGCCAGGACCTGTGTGTGCCCACAGAGCCCCTTGGTGCCCCAGGGGTCAGCTCTGCACCCACCAAATGGAACCATTGCTGGCATCCAGGGGAACATCCCCAGCGGGAACACAGGCACCCGACCTTTCTGCAGCTGCACTCTGCCAGGTACTGCATAGCATTCGAGGCTACATGGGAAGGTGGGGAAGAATAATGAGCACATCACAACAGAAGCATGGTAGAATACCTATATAAAAGAGGAGAAACTGTACTTCACTCTCAAAGGCCACACTATGATGAAAGAACAAGGCTGATGTGCGTTGGCTTAGGCGCATCTCTCCACGCTGGGAAGATGAACGAGGTGTTCAGGCTCACGGCCACGGAGGTGCAGAGCTGGAGCTCTGATAAAGGCATCTGATGGGGCTGCGTGCCTCTCTCCCGCTGCCAGCCGAAGCTCAGCGTTTTGCTGGCTCTGTACTCTGCCACAGAAGCCTCCAACTCCGGAGATTTGATGATTCTGTGATTCTGAGCTGTGCTTTCCCAAAGCAGAAATAGCTGCTGCAGCAGGAGAGGGAAGGAGGGAGCCGGGGGCTGCTCCCGGTGCTTGGTGCTGACGGGGGCCACGAAAACTTCCCCGCCCGCTTGTTGCTGCCTGCTTTTCTCTTTTGCCATCGAGTCTTCTCACCGCCTCTGCCGTTTGGCCCCAAATGCAGCTGCACCGCCTGGAGCACAGCTTGCAGCTCTGTCGCCTGGACAGAATCCAGTTCCTTTCCCTCTCCCCCCCCCCTCTCCGGTCCCCGGTGCTCCCAGCAGAGGTCCCCACGGACACATCCTGGTGCCCGACGCGCACGGCCCGGCCGTGGGGTGCTGGGGACCGCGGCCAAGCCTGCGAGCCCCGTCCTGCCCCACAGCCTGAGCAGAGGGAGGGCAGGGAACGGCTCCTTCGGAGACTGTTGGCATTAAACGGTATCCTGAAAATCTAAAAATTATTTCCTTTTTTTTTTTTCTGGTTAAATATTTACACGTCAAGGGTAAATCGTCAATTATCTTTTTAAAAAAGAAACAGATGGTGGCATTTTCATCTGCTCCCTTCCCAGCGACACACAAGAGGCAGATGCTGCTGCTACTCACGCTGGGTGTCTCTCTCAGGTAGCTCTTATGGCTCCTTAATTCCAGCACCTCAGACCTGCAGTACTCCGGGGCTGAGGAGGGCCTGGGGGGCTCAGGGAGCAGGAGGGGCTGAGATGCCCCAGGGGATGCTGTGCCCCTTGTGCAGGCAGCTCGAGACTGAATCTCTCTTCTGGATCCTCAGATGTTCTGAAGATGTTTGCCATCCCTCACACGTTACCCTTATGCTGTCCTGAGTGAAATGTTACAGCTGCAGTACTACAGATGGGAAACTGAGGCATAGGAGAAGCACTGCTTGTGCTCTGAGAGGTCTGCAGGCAGCTTGCTTCCAGTGACTGCAATAGACATTGGGCACACTGGGATCTTGGCTGAGGTCTTTTGCCCATAGCTTCGCAGGGATGGATATCAGGTCTTCTAACTTGAAGCCCTTTGGTCTAACTACTGGAACATCCTTAAATTCTGGGGGAAATGGGCAAAATTCAGTCTCCAGAGTCTAAAGGTGATAATTTTCTCCAACAGTTATTAAGAAAACCTATTCTAGAAATAATAAAGTGATTTCCCTTGTGTGAGGCTGTTTGGTATCCAGCAGAGAAGGAGGAGGTTGCTCATCTGGCTCAGCAAAGTCGCGTGTACTGAGAATAAAGGGCTGAGAAGCTGCAGCGTCTGGCTGCTCTCAGAGTTCTGATCAGCCGGGGAATTCCTCAAACAAGAATGCAGGAGGGTAAAAGCTGCCACCATCCCAGCTCCGTGCCAGTGCTGTTTCCAGCCCTACAGGGAGAGAAGGCTTTGAAAAGATTCCGAAAAATAATAGTTCTTACTAATGAAAACCTTCAGACCTTGGAGCAGCCTCAAAATGACGGTCTGATCCAACGTCCACGCAGCCTCCTGCCGGCTCTCCGGAGAGTCTGAAACTCTCAAAGAAGTGCCAGTGAAATTCTCAGCCTTGCCAGATTATTAGTGTCAGCTCCAATATGTCAACACGCAGCATCCCTGCACCTCATCAATATTGCCTGAGATCCTGCTGATATCAGGCTCGCAGACCGGTATTATCTGACCCACCACTCCTGCGATTTATTTCTGAAGGATGCGGCTGATTTGGAGCCCTCCAGTCATGCCAGTCACCAGAGTGGCGTGCAGGACAATTTCAGTCTGCATTAAGCATATGAAAAATGGGGAAGCTGAAGTGAGACCATTTTTCGTTCAGTGTGAAGAAATGCAAATCCTTCACATTCCTCCCGGATCTGCCGGGCTCAGCACTCACAGTGCTGTTAAGCCCCTGTGACACACTCCGAAACCACTGCCCTCCTCACCCAGCTGGATCGCATTTGCTGCCTGTAAGCCTGCTAGCCTGAACAGAGCACTCAGATGGAGAAAGAGCACTTAGATGAAATAGCAGATCAACGTTAATGGAGACCTTCCTCCACAGATTAAAAAAAAAGTGAAATAGCAGAGGTGATAGATGACGCGATAGAGTCTATGAAATGACTATTTGATACCGCGATGGTATGAAGAGTGAATAATTCATCCATCTGCTTTGAAAGCCAAAGCCCAGGCTCTGTAGGCAGTAAAACAGCACTGAAGTCCAACCTGATTAATTCTAAATACAGTCTCAGTCTTGATTTCTCTTATATCTTAAGCTACAACACTTGATCCCAACAAGAGCAGGTTGAACGCATTAGGAAGGAATGTTATTGTATAAGCAATCTCTCTACTGGCTGAAACATCAGAGGGTCATGGAAACATCTTTGAATGTCACTCCTTTGTGAATATATTTTTGGAATTTTGGTCATAAAACTGGGCTGGAATGCTCATGGATTCAGTCTGGGCGCCTATAATCAATCATGCAATCAAAAGCCCATGACTGGCACTCATGGCATTATGTCTGTGCCAATGGCAAAAGCACGCGTGGCTTTGAGTGTTGCATAAAGCAGCAGGGCTGTTTTCACAGGAGAGAATGAGACAAAATAAGGCAGGTCTTTTTGCAAGAACTCCTTCCAATTAGCGAACAGAAAAGCCAAAGCCAAGGTGACGAGGGCTGTCCCTGCCTTTGAGCTCAGTGACTCCCCTCTGGCGGTGTCCTCCTTACTGCCCATGTGAAGAAAGCACAGAGGGCAGCCAGGTCCCTTCAGCGGTGCTGAGGTTACTTTCCAGGAAAGGAAAAGCCACGGTCCGGTCTCCAGAAGGGTCTCCATCTCAACACGGGGAGCACAAAGTGCTGTCTGCCATCCCACATCAGTCCGGCTGCAGATGGGGGCGTGGGGGGGAGGTCCTGGAGCCCCAGGGGCAGCGGCAGGGCAGGAGGGCTGGGCAGAGCCACACGGGGCAGCCCAGATGCGCGGCGCTGAGGCAGATGGGTTTCCACATGCTGAGATTTACGACTTACTGAAAAGCCCCTAGTTTGATGGCTGCTTTTTCATTTCCTACAAATCTAATTACAGGGGAATAGAACTGATTGCGAACATATTTAGAGAAAGGGCTTGTTGCTGTCTTTTTACATTTCCTTTGTAGTACGAAGCCGTATGTTGGCTGAAAACACTCAGATGCTCTCTTGAGAAAACATATCAAATGCCAGCAGGCATGGAATAGCAGAGGAAGGGTCTAACCCTGCACATGCTCCAGATGGCAGCTCTTCCTCCGCCCCGCAGCTGCTCGATGGACTGTTCCCCACGACTGCAAACTGCTCACGGACCTGAGTGGCTGCAGAGGACTGCATCCCGCAGTCGGAGATGGGAAGCTGATCCTGCTTTTACCCAGAAGTATCCAGGTTATTCTGTATTTTGAGTCAAAAATCAGCCAGATCAGAAAAGCAGAGCAGATCCTACAATTCAAAAATAGGGCAGAAACTCCCCCCAGAAACAACAGCTGACGTGGAAATGCTGTGGGACGCACAAAAAAAAATAAGGTCTGAATCTGAGTCAGATAGGAAGTCAGCCTATGGCCAGAGATGAACCACAGCGCAGTGAGCTCTGTCCAGACACAAGCAATTAAAGCAGCTCGTGTCCTAGAACTCACCAGTCACAACATGCACATTGCCCACTTCAACAGTTTCCCTTCTACAGCTGCTGAGAATATTTGAAAGACACCTAAGCACGGGCATGGCCGTTGTTATTTAGGCTTATTATTCACACCAGAGCAGTAAAACAACATCTTCTGTCAGAAGCAGGGTCCTGTTTGTTGTCACAAAAGTGAAAATCTTGACTCAAAGTGAAGGTATGAAGATATGACAGGCACACAAAAGTGCTTCGAGCAGGAAGGTTAATAAGCTGCAGCATAACCAGAGCAGCAACAATGGCATTAAAGAGGGGCTGCACTGAGCACAGAGCAAAACCTTTGAGCCTGGGGTACAGGACAGGAGCCATACCTGCAGGAAGGGGTGGTTCTGGTCAAGGGGTGCTGCTGCCAGGGATGGGGCTGCTTTCACACCAGGGACATTTTCAAATTAGTGGGGAATGGCGGGGAAAAGGTTCCTCGCATTCTAGGTTAAGCAGCAGTTCAGTCCCTGTTTCCTTACAAATGATCTGCCACCTGCTACTAATTTCCTCCTGTGTTACAAAAGCCATCGACTGCCTGAAGGAAAGGGGGGGAAGCTGTTAAGCTGCACTTTGCACAGAGCAAATGAGAACACAAATAGCAGGGGATGTGTGTTTTAATGAGCAGAAGAGGCATCGATCAGCTCACTGCTGCACGTGGGGCTGCTCCCAAAGCACCGCAAGAGCCCGGAGCTGCTGAGGGCTCAGCAGAACACTGTCCCTTCCCTTGCACAACTGCTGCACAGCCCCCGTGCTCTGTAAGGTCTCCTTCACCCTCTGCTCACCTTAAGGGCCGCAGTGTCCTCAGCAGCCTCAGCACCCTCAGCATCCCCAGGATTTTCGTGCCGCTGTCTGACACCATTGAGACGAGGATGTCGATGACGGAGATGAGGACCAGCACCCCATCCAGAACGTTCCAGCTGCTCTTCAGGTAGGCTTTCTCCCCAAAACACAATCCCAGTGCAACCACCTGCCCGGACAACAAGGTACAGCAAATTACGACTTTTGCATCTGATGCTTTTCTCCCCGTTAGCAACCTGCTGAGAATGCATTATTTACAGATATGAGTCTGCAAGTCCATTTGCTTCCCAGTATAGAAGCCTAATTAGACAAATCAGCGAAGTGTTGTATTTCAAGGACTGTACAATAACTCTGCAGATATACCCCACGTTGTCCCTCACAGCTGCTGTATTTTTAATGCAGCTAAGACACGCTGCACAGAAGTGTCGCTAACAACTTCCGCTCCAGCATATAAAGGTGGATGGTGTTTTACTGCTATGGATTCCTGGAGTAAAGGTGCTGAGTGGCTCACCCAAGCAACCATTTACAAGCTTTGCAAACATGGAAACTCCAGAAGCTTTCCAGAGAGCAATTGTTCTGTGAGACCGTTATGAATTACACAAGAGAGATTTACAGCAATGGGTTTTGTGAGCCTCCCGCCTCAAACCCAGCACAGTGTTTTGCTGTGTTCCAGTCTCTGCCTGCTCAGGAAGGCACAGAGCTGCTTAGGTTGTGAGGACAATGGGTTGTTGAAGACAATGGGACTTACATGCATGGCTGACGCTAAGCGTGTGCTGGAGAGCTTTGCTGAATAGGGGAGGATTGCTGAATGGAAGCATCCCATAATGGTGTAAATCAAGAGCAACTTCAGTGAGATTGTTCCGATGTAAAATGCGCTCAGCGTAAGGCTGTGGTGGGCATTCGAATATGGTTCAGAAGATGAAAACATTCGCCTCCCTCATCACTGCAATAAAACATCACTAATATCATACAGGCACACTTCCCCTCTGGCTTCATTTACCTTAACTGTCATCTCAGTCAGGAAGATCACTGTGAAGATGTAGTTAGAGAGCGTTAGGAAGATCCGTTCCTGCAGAAGAGGAAAGGAGAGACAACGCTTTACACGACGCTTTTAGACAAATGCCATCGGTGGTTCTGTGCTGCCTGCGGCTGGGTCAGCAATGTGGGGAGGGGCAACAGCACCGGGCCCCCTGCCCTCAGAGCCCCCCTCACCCCAAAGCCACCACCTGCCCCCAAACTGCCACCTGCCTCCCCAGCAGGCACAGGGACATCGGCTGCCCTTGGAACCCGCTTGGCAAATCTCTCTCTGCCCCTCACTGCAGACATCACACACAGTGCAAATACCACCACGCTCCCAATTCCCACTACGTGAAGTCAGTGTCAGCGTGGCTGTGCTGCAAGGCCAGTAGGGCCCAGGGGAGGCTGCAGTGCGGCTGCCAGGACCTGTCCCGGCTCCACCGAAGCCAGCAGAGCTCTGGAGGCTGCCGCCAGCTGAGAGCTGCCCCAAAGGGTCGTTCTCCTGCCCAGAGCCATGGGCTGGAGCTGGGCAGGGAGCCCAACAGCCTCATCTCATCTCCCAGTCCCTGCACTATCCACCAGACTGTGCAGTTCTTGCTGCCACTGTGCCGCAATAGCAGCTAGTGATTACAGATGAGACCACGGCCTGGCTCCCTATCTGTAGTTAGCAGAAACCTTTCCTTTTAATGATGATCATTAAATAAATTACACTTCTCCCTAATCCCTAAGCAATCTCTGATTGCCTGCACTGAGAAATGGACAGCAGAAGGTGGAAGTTGGAAGAAAGTGGTGAGCGTGCCTGTGTGCATACAATTGAACCAGCCCCAGTTCTGCTAATAACAATTTGGGATTTATTTCTGCTGCTCCCTACAGAGCCATCCTGTAAGAGAAGCAGATCTCTCGAACAAAATGAGATGCAATTCAAACAGGACAAAACACCTTGGCAACCCTCTCACTTGCCAGATCATGATTTACTGAAAGTGACTCAGGAACCACAGAGCAGTTTGTTTCCATCCTGGGCCCATAATTAATGAGGTCCTGGCCCTGCAGCGTGATTGCAGGAGCTGCGATAGGAACCGTCTTTGCCGGGCACACAAAGGAGTGCTGCAGGGCAGGCAGTGCGTGGGGAAGGGCAGGGAACTGCTGGTGGTGCTGGAGATAAAACAACAATATCGTGGGGGAGAGACGAGGATATTACAGCCCTCCCTGGTGAGCATGTGGCTGTGTTGGAGGATAATCTCTGCAGCCCATGTCGTGCACTCTGAGATGGGGAGCGCGTGTTGGCTGGCAGCAGCATCCCTTTCTGATAAGCCAGCTGAAACTGGGGCAGGGAATGAGACCTTGTGTGAAGCAGCTAGAAAATCCACAGCTCAGAGAGGCAAAGGACAATTATTTTAACCAACTGAAGCTAAACTGACTCTGGGTTTCCAGATGAGAGGTCTGTCCCTGTGAGCAGGGCACGGGCACTGCTCCTGGCAGCCCTGCTCCTCTCTGCTGCACCCACACCATGGCTCAAATTCAGCTCCCAGCCCTGGATGCCACACTTCAGTTTCATTTTGGCTACAGACTGATACTGCTGGTGCTGCTGGGTTGCACCAAGCTCTACGTTACCAGCCAGGCAAGGGAAGGAATTGTCTGCTCTGCACCACACCACTGCCACTCCACCGTCACTGTGTGCAGCTCTGGGTGCCACAGTACAAACAGATACACAGCTAGGATGGAGTGCTCAAAGGAGGGCTGCAGAGATCATGAAGAGTCTAGAAGAGAAGACGTTTGAAGTGTGGCTGGGTTGTTTTGGCCTAGAGAAGAGGGGTCTGAAGGGAGTCCCACAAGAGCCTCAGAGGCAGAGCTGGCAGGTCTCATGGGACATTGCAAGGCGCTCAAGGAAGCCTAAGGGATCTCCAGGGTGTCCCATCTGGGGAGCAGGGGGTGATTTCCTCCTGCCACATTGGCTGGCAGGGAGCCCTGCTCTCGTCTCACAGCTGCGAGGTGATGCATCATGGCTGCGTGATAATCAAAGGGAAAAAATGGATCTAGGGGAGGGACCTCCAATTCAGTAAAGAGGACTATGAGCAAAGCTTAAAATAGGCACAGAGCAGCCAAGACTCCGGTTTTGAGGTCTAACATTGAAGATCCATGGAAATGAACAGCCTGACACGCCTACGACAACAAACCGCAATTCTATACGATTGCGATATGAGCAGTCTTTGGAATACATCAGCAAGAGCCCAGCATACATCTCAGCCACAGCCTATGCTAAAATAAAAGAGCAACGGATGGTTCTGCCCCTCTGAGTGATGGAAGTGGGTGCTGTGAGGGTCTGGCTTGAAAAATCTCTACACAATCTATTAAACCAGAATGGTTCAGGGGAATGGGATTACAGTGCCCATGTCAATCCAGTTTTCCTTGTGTCACAGCAAAGATCATAGACAAAGGGGAGAGAAAAATACAAAATGAATGGCTTCCCCTGTTCCCTTCTCACCATCCATACGTGCCCGCGAACAACAGATGGAAGAAATGAAGGTTGATCAGAGAAGGAAACAGAGACAGACGTCGTGTCTGTGCCATGTGTTAAAGCCTTGATCATACTTGCAGAAATGGGATATTGCATGGGGGGCCTCGATGTGTGGCAGGCCACGAGCTCTGCTCCTGTTCTGTGAACCAGGAGGGCCAGGAGCAGCAGCGGCACATGGAGCAGGAGGAGGGGAGAAGCCTTCTCTGGACAGCATCACCCTGTACCTACCCCACACCCACCTCTGCACGGACACTGGCGGCTCTGCACTTCAAAAAGAAAAGCCTGAGCCCCCATGCACGGCAGCAGGGACTGAACCACACATGCTGCCTCCACAAAGAACATGGAAAACATTAAACTCAAACTCACAGCGCTGTGAGGCTCGATTTTGGGTCGTTCCATGGCGATGGTGATGCAGTTGAGGAAGATGATCACCAAAACGATGTGATCAAACATCTTGTGCGTGATGATTTTATTGCACATCAGACGGAACCTGCCAAGAAATGAGAAAAGAAGACAGCGCACAGACAGGCTGTTAGCACTCAGCTGGTGGGGACAGCACAGCGCGCTCCTGCAGCTCCAGCACAGCCGGGGAACTGAGCTCCCTGTTTGCAAAGCAGAAAAGCCGCAGTTCCACAATCCCCTCCCTGGCAGAGCCCCATGCTGCAGGCACATCTGGGTATGAATAGGAAAGGACTCAAGCTGCAAAGATCGATTTCAAATTAGAACCACAGATTTCCAGCCCCAGCAACATCCATGGGTAACTTAGTCTTGCTCAAAGCACAGCAGCTGCTTGCACAGCTCAGATACGCATCCAGGTGTGGGTCTGAGCCCTGCCTGCTCTGTGGAGTTCAGCTTTAGCTTATAGACAGGAAGAAATGGTTGGATGGAGTCTGGGACAACCTGGTCTGGTGCCTGATTTAGTGGTTAACAACCCTGCCCATGGCAGAGGGGTTGGAGCTGAATGATCCAGGTTCCCTCCAACCCAACCATTCTGTGATTCTAAATACCTCCAGTGTAAGGGCTGAGCGCGCACGACCAAAGGAACAGAAGCTATTTATTGTGACAGATGGTTGTACACTGACCCAGGATTTATAATACCATATTACATTTCCCTAAGTCTGTTTCTGAAAATCTCTCTAATCTCTGTATGAATGAACCCCAACGCTGCCCAGGGCCCATCAGCTCAAACGCGGGAAACTCTCATCACGTGTGGGCAGTGTCCAGAGAATGGGTTTGGGATCTTGGAGCCCAGGGCTGGGCTTTAGGAAGGGCAGTGCTCAGGTCCTCTGGGTGAGGAGAGAGAGAAAGGGGAGGACAGAGAAGTCTGCACTGAGAGGAGGATTTGGCAGGGCAAGGAGGATCCTTTGCTGTGTTCTAAGCGTGCAGTGACTGTGTGCAAAGTTAGATTTCTCTGAGGCATCGGTGCCCTGCACACCCTACCACACAGGCTGCCATACCTGGAATGAGGAGCGAAGACATAGATGGACCAGGATTCCCTCTCCTTGCAGCAGGTGGGGAGATGTGCCCGTACCCAGGCCTTCATGCGGTCCCTTTTGCTCTAGAAGGAAAACGGAGAACAAAGATGTACCAGGAGGAAAAGCAGAGAAAAGAGTTGACGCCCCCAGATCTCCCAGGCAAAGGACTCAGGGAAATTTTTAACTAAACAAATATCCCCAGGTACTCAGTAAAACCAAAGGAAAACAGCCTTCCCCTAAAGGACCTGTAGGGTTAAGGGCTGTGCTGGTGCCATGAACCCCTGCGGTCACATCTTCCTGCCTGCTGTGCACAGTGCATCCGGCATGTGACAACCTAAAGGGATGGAGATGACAAGTAAAACCCTCATCCAAGAGGACCCACAACCTGCTCAGCTCAGCCACAGACCCTCTGGCTTCTCAGCAGATGCTTACCTGAATCTTCTGAGGTGTTCCTGTTGCTTGCTGGGCCAAGCCCTATGTCTGCACACCACTGGAAAGCCAAAGAAACCATTTGGAAGCTGCATTTCAGTGCAGGAACACAATGGCAAGCATCTGCCTCTCATTCAGCATGACCAGATCAGGCCATGGATTATGAAGGCAGAAGGGAACATCGTGGCCTGTCTGACCTCCTGGCTGAGCGCCGGTGATCCAACTCCCCTGAATTAATTCCTCCTTGAAACCACAGTGCATCCTCGGCCACACATATTTGAGACCATTGGCGAGGTTGTTTAAGGGCAGGGGGGCAGACTGTAATGCTTTGGCCAACAGATCAAGTGAAGACAAGAAAATCCAGTGCCGAGGGAACACCTGGTCCTGGCTGCAGCAGCCTCAGGGTCAGGTCTTCTCACCTTGGGTGTCCAAGGGGAGGCCAGGAGGTGAACCCACAGAGCAGTGATGCAACGTCACTGCAGTGCTTCATGTTCACGGACAAATTAAAGTGAGTTCTTGCTCATTCATTACCCCTATTTCCCCACTCCCACACATGATGCCCAAGGAGCAGGGCTTTGGCACTGCATGTGCTTCATCTTGGAAATGGGGAAGGGGGGATTCTGTCCTCGCTTGGAGTCAAATTGTTAGCAACCTGAGGTCCTCTGGACTTAAAAATGGGATTTGTTAGGGTAATTGAGTGGAATGGAGGCAATGCTTTCTGCTACTGTATGCACTCAGCCAGGGGTCTCATTAGCAATGGGTAATTGCTAGTGTAGTGCCCACCTTAATGAAAGCACTTGGTGACAACCTGAACTCTTCCTGGAATGAAAACAACCTTGTGAACAGAAAAGGAGAGGTCTGAGGAACAAACCAGCTGGATTTTCCTACCACCTTCCTTCAGCTCTTCATCATTCCCTCCCTTTCCACTCCAGACACCCCAAGCACGGCACACCAGTGGGTTCTGGCCACACTAGGGCTGTTTGTACATTCTTTTTCCAGCTCCAGACAAGGAGGCATGAGCTCCCCTTTATGAGCTCCCCTTACTCTGAACTATCTTTAATAGAGCACGCATCCTGGGGCTGTGCTGTCCCTCCAGGCAGCCCGCTCCGCTGAATTATCCATAGATGTAACAGAAGGAAATAAATGGATCGACTCTGATGTGTGCTCGAAGTCGCAGGCAGAGCAGGGATTGCTGCCCCAGGACACAGAGCATCGCCGGGCTCCGTCCGGTTCATTTTGCAAGCTGGAAGCTTTCCAGGAGTATCCAGTATTCAAAGCAGTTCTGGTATTTATCATGGGGATTTGTAGTGAATGGTAATGCGTCAGCAGCACAGAATGCTTCTTTCTATTCCTTTTGTCCAATTCTAATGCCAGAGATATTTTGGGGTTTGTCTAATTGTTGCAGCTCACAGTTCATGGGCTCAGTCAGATAACAAAGGCAGAAAGCGATCTGCCATCGCAGCCCCACTCGGCGTGTCAGCACGAGGGCAGCACAGCGCCGCTCTGAGCAGGGCCAAGAGCTGTCCCAGAGAACAGCCACGGGAATCTAAAGCAAAGGAATGACTCCACATTTCCACGGGTGGAAGGGCACGGTTTGATAATCTGTGCCAAATGCAAGATGTTTGCAAAATGAAAAGCGAGCGCTTCCAGCCCAAGTCCCTTCAAACGCTTCCTCTGCAAGGTCCAGACTCACATCCACGGCGCACAATCAGCCTGATTGCTGCTCAAGCCTGCATTATGCTCCCAGCCATATATCAATTATGTTATTTAAATCATATCTATTTGTCCATAAAACACACCTGGACGAGATGAATAAAGACTGAGCAGGGGGGGGTCGGGGAGAAGAAACTGCTCTTTAATTTGCCTGTTGGTGGCTTCACCAAAGTGGCTGCCACCGGCTGCCACCCCTCTGCACAGCGGGATGCAGAGATGTTGGCTGCCTTTGCCCCATAGCACAGTTCCCCCCCCGGCCCCCGCTAAGGAGAGCTGCTGATAAATAGCTTCTTTTTTTAGAACTTCCAGATATTAATGTAGTTCTGAGGGCAGGATGAAAGGCAGCTGGCATTAAAGGATGACTGATGCACTCCTTGGAGTAAGGGAGAGGGTTAGATTTATAAAAGATTTATTATAAGGATAGGGGGGAACTGCTGAAAAACACTTTATGAGCAGCAACAGACCTCCAGGCAAGCTCGAAGCTGCACAGAGGCGCTCAGGACGCGATTATTTTGTTTTAACTGTGCAGCAGGGGCAGGCTGGGGTGGTCTGGGGGAGCGGCAGAACGGCCCAGGAAAAAGTGCAATAGGCAGAGAGGATCAGAGCTGCGAGTGCCATGGGGATTTTGCCCCTGGGAGGAGGGGACACGTCGGGTATTCTCCTCAATCCCACGCTGAGCACTCAGCATTTGGGTTTTTCTTCCCTTTCCAGAGTACAGAAGTTTTGCAAATGGCACAAGCAGGGAATGGTAACACGGCCCAGGTCAGCAGATCCCCCAGCACAGACCCACAGCCCGGGTCCTCCATGCAAACCCACCAGGCAGCAGATCTCAGCTCAGTGAGGCACAGATCTGTGCCTGGGTGGATTTACACGGCTGACCTCCCTGCCTACATTCGTTCCACGAAGAACAGATTTTGTTGCCCTGATTTTGCACTTCAGGGGAGAAGAGCAGGCAGGGCCTGATTCTGAGCAGTGCAAATTCCGGATAACCTCTGTGAGGAGGAGCAGCACTGATATAACAGGAGACTGGGAGATCCAAAGGCAGCCTTCGCACTGCCTTTATTTCTGTGTGAGAGCAATCAAAACCGTCCAGCAAGGAGAGCTTGTTAAGCTTTGTTGCAGAAGGGCATATTTAGGATTGCTTTGATCTGAATAACAGTTGAGTTCCTTTCTTCTTCCGTTGGTAAGGGAGTTCTAATTTATTTTTTTCAGTTTAACCAAATAATGACATTTTTTTTCTGACTCTGCCAAGGCTCAAACAAGGGCTAAGAAAACCCCAAAATGTCAGGGGTAAATCATAAAGGAAAGCTCCTCAAGCTGGAGAGCCGTTTCACCAATCTGAGCAATATCTTCTGACCCATCTGCTGCAGTGATTTGCAGTGAGTTCACATCTCGGGGCACAGAGAAGGGCAGCTGCCAGCTGAGGACAGCCCAGCAGACACACCGGTGCAGGGCGTGCTCTGTAACCCTGCCTCGCCTGTCCTTTCCCCATGCGTTTGAGCTCCACGCAAGAAAATCCAAGGAGCTTTGGTCTAACCCTGCTTGGCCAGAGCTCAGCACACAGAAAGAAGACACTTGGTTTCCACTAAACACAGCCGCTGTAATAAAGATGAAAAACACGCATCTGATTGAGCAGAGCACTGGGAGCCGTGGCCGGGGGCAGGAGGGACGTGTCCCACCACGAGCTGCCCGGTGCCAGAGAGCCACCGCGGAAAGGAAGGGACCCGCAGGGCGTGCGAGCCCAGAGATCGGCACACGTTGCCATCCTCAGCCAGCTGTGAGGAGTGCGGTCCCTTGATCACTTGTAGTAGTGTTTTTTCCAAAAATAATTACCACTCCTATTCTTAAAAATTCAATTTGTTTTATGGAGGTTAAAAACCGGGTTAAGACAATCAGTAAAAATCCCAGGCTGAGGATCCATGCTGGAGATGTAATGGGATAATGGCTTGTTTTAAAGGCAATTTACGGCTGAGCGACTCTATTCTGCCAGCACAAGCTCTCTTTCTCCTCCTGGTTGCTCTCTGGAGTCACCGCTGCCTTTCGCATTCTTTCACATGCTCCAAATCCCATTTTCATTCAACAGACTCAGTGAAACACAGTAAAATCATGCCCAAAAGCTACGGCCCTCATTACTGCCCCGGTTCCCATCACACGGCTGTACCCAAAACCCGTCAGCAACCCATCAAACATCCCATCCGACCACTGCATCTTTCAATCCACAGAACAAGGAGAGAACCTTCAAGAACTGAAAATGCCCCCAAATGAGCCTGTCCTGAGACTCCAGCCACACTGCCCCATCTTCCCTGCCTCCCCAGTCTGGGGGCATCTACACCATTTGAGCAGTGGCAGCACATGGCAAGTTACGTGCAATGATTCAAAAGTGCAGATGCAGAGAATATGCAAAGCTGGAGATGATGCTCTAATCAGCTCAAAATTACAGCTGATTTTTCTTCTCCTGCTGCCATGCTTTTAGCTAACATTTCCTAAATAGCACTTTTCAGGCCTGTGAAAGAGAGACACTCATGGACTAATGCCTCTTCATATTGAAATTAATGCAAAGCCTTGGAAATTATCACCATCTCTGCAGGACTAATGCCTCCAGAGGATTTGTGGGCCAAACCTTGCCTTTGCACTGCCTGTTGATGTCAACAGAGATTGTCTGTTCCTAAGGACGGCAGCCGAAACCCAAATGCTGGCTGGTGAGCAGGGATGTTTACTTATTAAAAATTAAGAAAGGAAAAAACAGATTTGTGCAATCATAGAGTAAAATCACAGAACCCTCAAGATCACCAAGTTCAACCACCAGCCTGACATACTGCCACAAAACCACGTCCTTAGCCACACACTTCCACCGCCTCCAGAGATGGTGGCCAAGATAGCCACGGCCCCACGCGTTTGTCTGGAACCTGATGTGTCCATCCGGAATGCTCTGACACGGCACTGAGCCATTTAATGTCACACCGCCGCCCAGACTGCTCCAGGTGACCCCCAGCTGGGGTGGCAGTGACGTTCAGACCCTGCCTTGGCTGTGGCTTTGTGCCCACCAGCATACATCCAAGAGTTACAGATGGCACTTGGATGAGCAAAAAAAGCCCAGACCAAGCGTTTAGCGCTTCCTTACCATGTTGCCTTCATCATCAGCATCGTCGCAGTCTGGCCGAGGGTCGTCCAGGTGGAGCTGATGGACCAGTAGGCTGGGAGAGGTTTTCCCATTGCAGTCCTGGTGCTCGGAGGCAGAGGTGCGAGTGCTGTGCACACTGCCCGTCCGATACAGCGAAGGCACCTGCAGGGTGTCCTGGAGGTCAAAGGAGCCCTTTGCTTCCAGCGACTCCATGCGATGAGGTAAGGAGCCGTTGACGCTGCCGGCCCGGCTGGAATGCTCCTCATCCGAGCTCTCCCCATCTTCTGAGCTCTCCTTGCCCTCCCCGGACAGCAGGGACCTGCGCTCGCCGCTCTGGCCGCGCCGCTTGAGGCTGGGCGCCCGGCCGATGCTGTTCCAGCTGGAGCGGCGGCTGGGCCAGCTGCTGCCGGCGCTCCAGGGGCTGTGTGGGGAGCTGCGGGCGCTGGGCTGCGGGACAGGGATGGCGTCAGCCCGTGCCGCCCGCCCCTGCCAGGCCGTTCTCGTGGCGTGGGCAGGAGGATGGACGCCGCTCAGAGCCGCCACGTGCGCCCCACGAATGTTCGTTGGGCGACCGCAGGAAGCACAGGATGCCCTTACCAGGGATTTGAGCTCGTAGGCAGCAGGGTCCATGGAGACGCCACTGGCCCGGCGCGACTCATAGCCTTGCGCTGCGTCCCCAAACACGGCGCTCTTGGGCATGGGCATCGGCGTGGCTGCAGTGTGGATGATGAGCGGTGGGGTGAGGCTTTTCTTCAGCTCTGGGTGCTCGCTCAGGGCCACCACTGGAAGACACAAGGCAGGTTTTAGGGTCCCGCTGCTGTGGGCGTGCACACAGCCTGCCCTTGGGTGGGCAGAGCTGCTGCATAGTATATGTTTCTCCTCCGTGCATCAGCTGGAAGGGGACTGAGAGCCATCTGGGGGCTGAGAGTTTTCCGACAGCATGGCGGGGAAAAGTAGGATGTTGAGAATGAGATTGGGTACCAACAAAGAGAGCAGATCCCTTACGTGTGACCCCTAACCTTCCACCAGCACCCACCTGCTCCTCCTCTGCAGACCCTGGCTGCACTGGGCTCCCTACCTGCTCTCCCTCCTCCTCTTTCCCACACTCTCGGGGCTCCTCTACTTGTGCCCCTGTGAGGACACTCCAATAGAATGGATTTCAGATATGAATGCCATCACATTTCCTTTGCCTGCAGCTTACGCTCCCAGCTCTGCAGCACAGTCTTCCAGCTGGACAGAGCGTGCCACAGCTGAGATGAAGGCATTGTCCTCAGGAGGGTTTTCCCATCCAGGATACGCTGTTTCCACAGCGGAGGGGGTTGTGCAGCAGGGCAGGTGTCCCGGGGCCGTACTCACAGACTGGGTTTGACAAGTTTTTCTTCAGTCCACCCTCCTCTTCCAGGCTGCGGAGGAAGAGCTCGCCCTCTGAGTCGGATTTGGACGCATCCCCCTGCAGCAAACAGAGCTTCAGCCGGGGGGTGAGGGGCTGCCCGCACAAACACCCCTCAAACACACGGGACCGCATTGCCAACACCACACCTACAGATCCACCGAGCTGTGTACCACGATGCAACACCACCTTTCACAAAATGAGGCATGCACATATTTATACCACAGACTAATTAACCTCCTACCAGGAAGACTGGCTGCCCCTGATTCCAAAAGCAGCCCCAGAATGGGATGAGGGAAATAAAAAATAAAAAATGCACTGCTTCTGTTTTTGTGCTGTGGGAATCGCACACCGATGTCAGGGAAGGATGAGCAATGTCTGGACAAAAGTTGACCCTACTCATCTCTCTCTATTTATACACCATGGCTTGAAACTCCCCAGGTGTGGGCGATCCCGTGGCTTCCTGGTGATGGTAAAGAAGCCACCAAGGACTCAGGACGCTGACTTTGCAATGCAGCCATGGACACACATTTTATGGAAGCCCCAGTTGTGCAGAGAGGATCCAACGTCTGCCCCTGGGTGGCCAGCAGGTCCAGCTGCAACACAACATAGGTTTGGAGGATTGAGATGAATTTTGAATCCTGAGAGCTGCCGAGAACCCAGGCTCAGCCCCTGGAGAAGGGCTGAGGTTTACCACGGCTCACAGTGTGCTCGCTCCATCTCGCGGCACGCACCTGCTGAGGGACTTCCCTGCACGCTTCTGTCCATTGGCACTGCAGAAAGGTGCTTAGGGTGTGGTATAGTGAGCGTCCATCCAGCAGGAAAAGGTGCTCGCCAGAACCATGCCAATCCACCAGGGGAGGATTTGGGGCTAAAAATGTTTTTCTGGCAAACGGCACCAAACCCCAGCATGATGCACATCAGGAGGGAGGAGAGGAGGGGAGGGAAGGGGGGAGGGTGCTGGGGTGGAAGCCAAGCAAAGTCTCCCTTAGCTGGAAGGAACCAGGAGCCCAGAACCCCAGCAAGGCCAAGCTGTCCCCGGTGCCCCATGGAGGTTTGGTGCTCGGGTGCCAGGAAGTGGGAAAACCCACCGGGGTCCCAGCCTGCAGGAAAGCACAGCAATGCAGGGCTGCATTTCTGGAGCGCTCTGCAACAGCCCAGAGGAAAGTGTGAGGGTGCACAGCATGTGCAGAGATAGGAAAGCTGAGCTGCACGGGGACTCCCCCAGCACCAAACCCCACATCTGGGAGCAGAAGCATCTCCTGCAAGCAGTGAGTGCCAGCCCCAGCGCGCTGCCCATTACCTGATCCTGCACTCCCAGCTTGCCTTTCTGGATAGAAAAGGGGTTGTGAGAGAAGAGGGAGTTACAATCTTTCTGGGAAAGAAGGGCATGTCCAGAGGGACCCCAGGGCACAGCAGCTCTGCCAGTGTGTACCCAAGATGACAGGATGCATTCAGATATGGCAGGAAAGGATTTTGTGCTGAAGGAAGAGCCAGACTTCTCGGAGAGGGCAGAAGGGGAAGGCAGTGGTGAAGAGAAACACGCAGCTGGCACCTGAGCAAGGCTCGGAGTGTGCTGCACTTGTGGGATGTGCAGCGTCCTCAGCCCCCTGCACATCCCAACCCCACATCCCAACCCTGGATGCTCAGGTGTCTCTGACTGACCTCACCCTACAAAGCATGGGGTTCTCGCATGCTCCAACTTGATTCCAGGTCCCTTCAGTGCCCCATGTGGGATGCAGAGAGCAGAAGTGCCTGAGGACCAGCAGCACTGCCCGACCAGCATGGGTGTGAGCACACTGCTACGGTACTATCTGCTGCAAGCCCCGTGGATGACCTCACCTCACTGCAAGGCTGCACAGAGAGCTGAGCCTGGAGCCACCCTGCTCTCCAGAGCACCCACCTTCATTCCTCCAGCTCCCCCAGAGAAGGAAGGAACTTAAAACTGAGGCTGACTCAACAGTGAGGACAACAAAAGGAAAAGAATGATATCCCAACAACCCCTGACAGCACGACAGCAACGACGATGAGGACGGCAGCACGGTGTGTGACCAGGCACCACGAGGAACACAGCCATGGGGGTGTGGGAGGCTCATGCGTGGCCGTACGTACCGCCGCCGAGTCGCCCGGCAGCTGAATACAGCTCAGCTGCCCCCCGGCATCTTCCCGCTTGGAGATCTCCTGAAGGAGAAACAGGGCAGGGAAGGGGGAGGAAGGGGAAGGAGGGTTCAATTTTCACAGTTTCGACAGCAGAAATGAGAGGGAAGTAAAAAAACCCAAAACAACCAAAAACAACACGAGGAGAGGCAGGGAGGAGACAGAGAAAGGCGGATGGAGAAGGGCGGCGTGCGGCCACGATGGAGGGCTGGGGGAGCAGCCCCGATGAGGCCAGCCTTACCTTTAAATTAAGTGTTTCAGACCGAGAGCTTGATGCAGCTCCGAAGCGATAATTGCGCTAATGAAACACCAGCTAATTATCGAAAACACGATTTCTTCTTTTCTTTTTGCAGCTGCATAATGGGATCTTTATTTATTATGCCATCATTAGGCAGCAGCGGAGGCTTCTAATGAATGTTTGATTAACACAACATCAGCCCTCTCACAGCCAGGTGAAATCCTCCAGCACCTCTTCTCAGCACCACGACTCGGTGCCTCCCGACCCACTGGAGAAGCAGCAGCACTCGTGGCCCTTTGCTCATCAGCATGGGGTGGGATGTGTGGCCCTGGGCACGCTCACTGCTCGCCCTCCCTGCTCCTTGGGGCAGTGCTCCAGACTGCAACCCACAGATGGGGAACTCGCTCTGCTCCCAGCTGGTGTGGGATGAAGAGTTTAAGAAAGGCTGAGTCCTTGGAGTTTTCTATGATTCTCTGAATGGTTCAGGGGGCTGAACGGGACATGGGGTCTTGCTAGCCACAGACACTTAATTTAAAGTCTTTGACTGTAAGAGAGAAGGAGGAGGAAAAGCCATCAGAAGAAACCACGGAAACACTTTTCCTTCACAAAGACAATCCCAGTGAAATCGATAGGGGTGCAAAAGATACAGGATGTAACAAAAACACCATTCAAAAGTCTGCACATGGGGAAAATGGGCTTCAGTCCTTTGGTTGAAGTCCAAGTCCTGCTTTCTGCGGGTTCTGCCACCGCAGCCAGAGCACTGCAACACTGTGCAGGGTGAGCATGGGGCTGGGGGTGGCCCCGGGGCACCAGGGAGCAATTAGGGCACAAGGCAGGGAAAGGGGCAGAGCTGGGAGTGAGGACGAGGCAAGAGAAGGCCGGGAGGATCGCCAATGGAAGAACACGCTTTGGAGATAACGTTGTCAGGGAGTCCCTCGTGAGAGGAGCTTTGTGTCTGACAGAGAGGAGCCATTGTTAGCTTCAGAGAGAAATCCCCAGGGCAGAGACCTGCGCTCAGGCAGCAATTTCAAATGAGCAGCTCCATCAAACGGGGTCCCCCGCTCACCTTCCCCTCACAGACGCCCGGCCTGAGCTCAATCAGAGAACGTGCACCCAAAAATAGCCGCGCTGCGTCACGTCCTGAGCTGCCCCTGCACCGACGGAGCAGGTCACAAAATAGAAGAAAAAATAGGGGGAGAAAATCAACTCGGCAAAATATATTGCTCCATATTCAAAGTTTGGAACAGCTCCTTCTTCTTTCCCAATTGCTTATATACATCTGCTGCCTAGCAACTGGGGCTGCAAAGCCGTGCACTAAAATTAACGAGGTGCTTGCAGATTGAGGAAAGGCAGTCAAGGACTGGGGAGATAAAGGCAGCCTCCCTGAGATTGTGTTTCAGCCTGGAAAGCTGAAAGAGAATGGAAAAACACCTCGCTCAGAGGAAGGGTTGAGTGCAAGGGCTGGAGAGGGACAAGGGGCTTGTTTACAGGGAGAGATGATCTCTCTATTAATGTTGCTGAGGAGAGGATCCTTCGTGCACTCTCTATTAAAGCCCAGAAGGAGAGGTGTGTGGGAGCTGCAGAGCTGCAGGGATGCAGAGCGCTGAGGGCCGGGTGCTGTGGCTGTGCTGGATGCCACCCGTGGGCTCCCGGCCCCAGCAGCTCCTGCTGAGCTCCTCTTTCACACGTCCCCATTTACCGGAGGAGCGCTGAGCGCTCAGAATAACCAGGATGTGAAAGGAAGATGATGAGTAAAACACCTCTCTAAAAGCCTGCGATACAAAACAGCACTGCAAGCAAAGTGGTTAATTGCATGAATCAGGTGCAAGGCCATCAAAATCACAGTGGTTGGGCAGAGCCATTGCCCACGGGGCAGAGAAGGAGGCTGTGCTGGGCCGTGGTCCCGGCGCTCGGCGCTCGCCCCTCGATGCCGGCTCAACAGAGAGGCGCCCTTAAAGCTGCGGTCATGGGAACAAAACCGCAGCGCGTTGCGGTGAATGACAGCGAGCGGTGCTGCGGAGCCAGCTGGCGGCAAGCGAGCGGGGGAAATCGCTGCCAGCCAAAAGCAAGCAGAGTGCCATGTGCTCCAGCACCAAACAGGCGGCGGGGCCGGGGGGGGCACCTCCCCTAGGGACAGTGCGGTGAGGAAGGGGTGGCTGCGCAGCAGGGCTGAGCCTCGGGTGAGACACGGGGCTCCGCCACTCAGGCGACCTTCAGAGAATCAATTTGCTTGGCTGAACAGACAAAGGTTTGGTTTCGAAGCCGTCATCGCTCTGCGAGCAGCCAAGGAGCTTTCTTCTTCTTCTCACTCAGGCAAAGGAACACTGAGCTATGGAAGAGAACCTGGCGGTGACCTTCCCTTCAGGCTGAGGGGGGGGGGGCGCCCCCAGTACAGAGAGAAACGGCCACAGCAGTAACAATTAAACAAGAAAACACCGACACAGAGAGAGACGATACAGAAAAATGAGAGAATTTCTTCTAGCTATCTCCTGGTACGATTCCATTAACGTAACTCTAGATTGCACTGCAAAAATAATAACAATAATAAAAATAAATACGGTTCTGTGCATAGCTGTTCCCAGGCTGGCAGGATATTAGGACACAGGGGCAACAAATCTTAAATAATATTCCGCTGCTCCGGCTCGCTTATCAACAGCGGAGACAGTATGTAAAGGCGCAGGCACAGAAGCAGCCCCAGCAAACAGCTTTGGGCTGCTGCTCCCCCTCCGGTCCCCAGCAGGACGCAGCCCCCCATCCCTCTGCACAACTCCTGTGGGGTGGGTGGGCACCGCAGGTCCCCGTTTTGGGGTGCAGCTCCCAGCTGGGCAGCTCCAGAAATTGCAGACACAGAAATTGCAGCTCCACGCTCACCCCTCAACCTTCCCGAAAGCCCACAGCACCCTGGGGTGCCGCGTGGAGCTGGCGGGGGTGAGGACAAGGTGCCTTAAAATGGAGACCATTGCGGTGCTGGAAGCAGGAGGAGCTCCATGAGCACGCGCTGCCAAAGAAGTTAATCATGCTCCTAATCTCCCAGCAGCCTGCGTAAGTTTTCAGGAAGGGTTTTAATCTGGCTCACAAACATGGAGAGAACTGTTTCAAAGGCACTGTCATAGCAGTTATCCCATCTGCAGTGCCTGACTCACCGCTGAGTTCTCCCTCCTGCATTAACGCTAACAATGCTTTTCATTTAAGCCCTTCATTTAAAGGACTGGCTGTATTAAACTGTGCCTTGGCTAAGCAGAAAGAAGGGAAAAAAAAAAAGATCTCATATTTTTCCCCACTTCTTTTCATGTACCACTCTGGTAAATGTGCTGCTGCCCACTTTGGAAATCACATTCCTGCTGCAGGTCTGCAGGCTCTGAAACACTCAAAGCCAACAAAGGCACGAGTGAGAGAACATTACCTCCGTCTGGAAACCCTCCACCAGGATGGCCACCAGCAGGTTGAAGAGAACGTAATTCCCAAACGTCATGAGGGCAATGAAGTAGAGTGCTGCCCAGGAGGAGGTGGATGCCATGCCGTTGTAGAGGACCTTGTTCCAGTCTTCCTGGGTCAAAATCTGCAGAGAAAATGCCTCAGGAGAGTCAGACAGAGAGCAGCACGCTGGTATCTGCTCTGGGTGAGCAGTCTGCAGGCAAGCATCCCAGGTTTGGACGTGACCCCTAGCTGTAACTAACATCCCTATTCCAATGCCTGCAACAGGAGCTCCACCGAGCCGTGCTGCAGCTG